ATGAACACAATACAATCACCGGACGGCACCACACACAGCACGCCGTCTAAAATCGTCGAGGTCTTCCAAAAATATTTTGCCACACTATAATACCCCAACACCAGACTACAACCCGAAGAGTCCAGACAATCTATAGACGAATACCTACAGAAGATACCCTTACCAGCCCTAAAAACGGAGGCTATATCCAAAATAAGTGCACCAATCACTGTCGAAGAACTAGCCAAAGCCATCAAAAACACTAAACCCAACAAAAGCCCGGGACCGGATGGCTTCACGGGCCTCTATTACAAAACATTTCCTGCTATACTCCTCCCCCACCTTTGCAACCTCTTCAACACGATACTACAGGGAAACCCCATACCCCCCGACCTCCTAAGAGCAAACGTGTGCCTTCTTCCCAAACCAAACAAAACCCACCTGGACCCAAGCCACTTCAGACCGATATCCTTACTAAATGTAGACATAAAACTACTTACGAAGCTACTTGCAGACAGAATAAACCCCCACGTACATAAACTTATACACCCCGACCAACTAGGCTTCATATCCTACAGACAGGCATACGATAAACACCAGACGGACCTTTGACCTCCTATGGATGACCTCTGATCGACGAATCCCCACCCTATTCCTGTCCCTAGACGCCGAAAAGGCATTCGACCGAGTATTATGGCCTTTCCTCTTTGCCACCCTACACAAATTCCGGTTCCCTGACTCAATTCTCAATGCGCTCAACATCTTATACTCCACACTGGAAGCGAACCTCCTAATCCCAAATGCTCAACCCCCCTCTTTTCGCATCTACAACGGGACGAGACAGGGCTGCCCCCTTTCCCCACTCTTATTTGCCCTCTCATTAGAACCCCTACTCCAAGCCCTACGCCTGGACCCAACAATAAAGGGAGTACACGTTAGGGAAGAAGAATATAAAGTGGCAGGATACGCAGATGACCTACTCCTCACAATCACAGATCCGATAAACTCACTCCCACCCCTACTACACACCATACAAGAATATGCACAGGTCTCAGGCTACCGCCTCAACCTGGATAAAACGGAAGCGCTTCCAGTACAAATCCCCCAGGAGGACCTAGACTCATTAAAAATAAACTATCCGTTCCGCTTCAACCCCACGCATATACACTATCTGGGTATAGACTTACCAGCAGACGTCTCCCAGACATACCGACTCAATTATCCCCCCCTACTTCAAAAGGCAACAGCGGACCTTAAAACGTGGGAATCCCACTCCATCTCCTGGCTAGGAAGGGTGGCATGCATAAAAATGAATCTCCTACCGAAGTTCTTATACCTATACCAGACACTACCAGTTCAAATAGTCGCCAAGGACTTTAAACTACTACAAACACAAATAGATTGCTTCGTATGGGCCAATAAACGGGCCAGAATACGAAGAGACATCCTCTACCTCCCGACGCACTCGGGGGGCCTAGGCCTACCCCACTTCCTCCACTATTTCCACGCAGCCCAACTAGCGCAGATTAAAGCACTACACGCACCCATAGGGTTGAAAAGATGGGTAGACCTTGAACATGACCTGTTCGGCCACGATTTCCCTTCCCTCTACATCTGGGTCCCAAAACAAGCCAGACCACAACCCCCGCACACCACACCGGCACTTGACACCGCTATTGCAATCTGGAACAAACTCTCCATAAAATACGGGCTCACATCGAACCCTTCACCCCTGACACCAATCCTGAGAAACGAACACTTCACACCGGGAATGACCCCAAAAGACTTCGCGCACTACGAAGACAACGACCTCGTCAGGACATATCAATTTTTTCGAAACCAAAAAATCATTGCTTTCACGGACTTGCCACAAACCAGACCACTCACCACACACGACTTCTTCCGCTACCTGCAAATCAAAAATCTCCTAGACACCCCTACCTATAAACAAGCCGGAATTACACCCCTCACCGTTTTTGAGCAGGCATGTATCCATGCCCCCATACAAAAAAGCCAGATCTCCACAACCTACGAACTACTGCTCAAACTGATAGGGACACACCCACCAGGGTACGTAATAGCATGGGAAAGGGATCTAGGACCCCCCACAGACTGGTCCGCAATCTGGGTAGCCACAGCGACAGTGACGATATGCGTAACACATAAAGAACAGGCATACAAAACCCTGATGCGCTGGTACCATACTCCGCTAAAACACAAGCAAATGGGACTATCCACCTCAGATAGATGCTGGAAGGGGTGCGGCCAAAAGGGAACGTACTACCACATGTGGTGGGAATGCCCCCACGTTACACAAATCTGGACTGACATAGTGGCCCTGGCCTCCAGAGTCCTACATGATACCATCCCAAGAGACCCGTGGTTGTGGTTACTATCCAAACCGCTGGTCGGTACACCACGGGCTCATAACAAACTACTAGCCAAACTAGCCTTGGCAACGAGGAGAGCCATAGCCTCCCATTGGGGCTCACCCACAGTCCCGTCACTCACTGACATAAAGAAAAAAATGAACAAAGCCAGGGCAATGGACAGTTTATCTGCACTCATTCATGACACCACAACGCATTGTGACAAAATATGGGATCTGTGGCTCATGGAACCCACCACAGCCACATAAGACACCCAAAAAAAAAAAAAAAGGAAACCAACCATGACAGGAACCATGCACAAACACATAACCCATAGGGGCCAAGACGTCAGTGTCCAAGACAGGTCCACAATGAAATACGCAACTCCGAAAAACCGTACAACCCACAGATCAGGGACACCTTCTCACCCCCCCCAATCCTCCCACAACCCCATCAGAAACCCCAAAGTGTGGAACCCCCAATCCACACTCTATCCCAGAACTGAGCTTAATCCACTCTCGCCCCTTAACTTGTAGTTCCGAATCCATGTGCCGTACCAAGAAAACATGATCTTAGGTTCAAACTTGTTAATATTTGTTTTGTTTTGAGTTGTTTAAATGTATGGAAAACTGACAGAACAGAATCGTATACGAGAAAATAATGTTGCGTTATCAGTAAACTACTCTACTGGTATATACCTCTCTGTATCATAATGTATTACTACACTGTTTACCTTTTGCATAAGCCCACACATTACCTTCTGTCCAACATCTGTATACTTACCATTTCTGTCAACCGGAAAATAAAGAATAAAAAAAAAAAAATCCATGGGTCTTTAATGAAATAGAATAAGTTCATACACGCTAAATAGATAAAATCAAAACAGATTAGATTGAATAATACCGACAGTAGCTCAAAGAGGTATGCACAGATGCCACATCAACAGTTCTCCTGGCGGATGTGGTTTGTGGGAGCTGCAGTCCTCGTTGTGTGGTGTCCGCTGGCGGAGAACACGGGAGTTACATCTCCTGAGTAATGTAAAAGCGTTACATCTCCTGAGTAATGCATCGTGGGTACGTTCTCCAAAGTATTCCAAAATGTTTCTGAGTTTGTCAAAATCTGTGTGGAGACTGAACTAAGCTCATCCAATTATCACTTTATAGATCGATTGCCAAACATTATGAGCAAACAGATAGTAAATATTATAGATATTAAAATCATAATGACATTTTAATTCACATAATAAGCTAAGCTTTACCAAATCTTGTATTTCGGTTTCATTCACTCACATTTAGCATCTGACAGAGGAGATTGAGTCAATGGGAAGAGAGATGGCAGGGAAGGAAGAACGAATAAAAGAATAAATGGCAGTGAGAGAAAAGTGAATGAAAAGGGAGATGTTGGGGAGAAATTGTTAATAAAAGGAAATGGTAGAAAGAAGGATAGTATATATTGGGGGAGACAAAAGGAAAAGAGAATGAAAGTAAAACAGATGGCAGGGGAGGGTGAGAAAACACAGATAGTCATGTCAGAGGGAGTGAAAATCAAAAGAATAAATGAAATGGTAGAGGAGACAGATTAAATAAAAAGCTGGGTGTCAACGATGGAAGATGTTAACAGGTGAAATTATGAGATTATGTATTTATTTTTTATTCAAAAATCCAACAAATGTTACAGATACAGCAATTTACACATAAAGAAATATATATATATAATAACCTGGGGCCCCCACACACCCACAGGGACTATTTCTGACCAGCCAGATCATATTATCTATAAAGACACACAATGAATTTCAATGAGGAGGTTATAGAGGGCACAGAACAAATGAAAAGAAGACACGTTGGGATGGAGAGTGGATGACAAGAGATGGTGGCAGAAAAGTAACAGAATGAAAAGGAAAGATAGGAGGAGAGAAAATAAAGAAGAGAGTGGGTTGTTCATTAAAATGAGAGAATGGCATGAATGAAGAGAGAATGAAAATTAAAGATAGGAGTAGAGGAAATAAAGAATGGAGATTTCATTAAGAGATACGAGGGGCGGCAGAGTGAATCAACAAGGGAGACAGAAGAAGCAGGTAGAATAGAATTTATATATTAAACAGTTTTATGAAATATTACTGGTGAGCATGGTGTGTGAATAAAACATTGCTCGGATTGGCCAGCGGAGGCTCTCTGTATTCTTCAATATCTCCCTTTTGCGACTCCATCAGACCCAGTAACCATGTTTGCCGAACGCCATACGCCATCTATACCAAGATAAGACATCAGAACTATACAAGTATCCATTTTCATCTGTGCTATTTGGATACTTGACAAAACAATGAACATTTGGCATCATGGATAGAAAATAGGCCGTAACAAAAATATTTACTAGTGTAATTATAGCGCCTTCAATGGTACAGCGGTATACCGCGTGCTTTAATGCTGCTTCTGACCCTGGAGATGCTTTGGACTGTAAAGATGGCTCGTCCGGCCAAGAATAAGATACAGTTAATATTTTTATTTTATAGAGCACAGTTTTCCTATAAATCACATAATTTATTTACCTAATGATTATCACCAAAATGAAAGAATTTTGGACTATTAAAATATTTATTTAAATAATTTATATAGTTACAAAATCATTTGCCGAACCACATTTTCAGCCATGCACAAGTCTTGTTGAGATTAAATACTCAATGTATATACATTCATACAGTGACTAAATACAAGACTTCCCCACACACATTATACAATATTCATTCACACACCTACAGTAACACTGACACAGTACACAATCTGTATTTATACATTTATTCTGATAAGAAACCAACACATGCTATACACATTAATCTTAATGTATCAGAAAGCGTGCTTTATATATCTCTAAATTTTACTTTAAGAAGCCCAGTGCTGCATTAATCCAGAGGACACATATTGTTCTCTTCCTGCCTTACATGGTTTTATTATAAGTACATATAAGGAGAGATACCAACATGCTAATTACTAAAGTTAGATTTAAAAGTGAATCTAACATCAACAACATTCTGAGAACATTTGCTAAATAAGTATCATGAATTAGGTCGAACAAACTGTGTGAGAACAGTATGAGTAATTTTCTCCCTAAAATGTGACAGATGTAATATAAAAGGTAAATTTTAACGAGGCTTTGCATATAGCATGTAGGGTTTGGGAAAGTTCCCCAGTACGGTCGTTATAGGGTCAATATCGATGGCATCGAGCGATAGAGGAGACGTCAGAGTGAAGTTTTGCAGGATGGATGTGAACAGTAAGAAGATTTCCATGTGAGCCAAACTCTCCCCAAGACAATTTCTTTTACCTAAAGAAGTAGAAGAGGCATTTACCAGATTCATTTCTTTATAAGTAGCCATCCGAGTATCAGAGGGCAGACAACGGTGTTACACAATACATTTATTTAAAGGGTCAATTTACCGAAGTCCAAACAGCCCCTTATTGAATGAGGGAAAGTCATTTGGTAACATATGGGGAATTCTAATTGGACAGTCGCTAAAATGGCCCCTTTCCACTGGTCCCTTGTATCCCCCACCAGCGGACATCAGGTGGTGACTGAATATCAATAGTGACCTGCTCCTACTCAAGGACAGGAAACCCCATCCCAGTTTCAGAAAGTAGAGTTAGGTGTTACACAATATATATCATCTGAAGTCCAGGTGTTCATACAGTGCGGCAAAGAACGTAAACTCATACAGGAAATATCGCATACAGATTGTTAGCACCCACTTATTTGATGTATTTACCCAGTGCCAGTGAGAGACTGACAACACTCTGGGTCCCAAGTAGAGTTGAGTGGACACCTGGCTGCTCACTGTAAAAGAAAAAAAAAAAACCTATTGCCCCCACCCCTGTGCGACGGGTGGGGGCCCTAAAGAAGAATGTGGAGGGGGGGACCAACTGTTCTCCCCCCAGGCCCCCACCCCTGCACGGTGGGTGGGGGCCATAAATAAAAAATGGGGGGGACCTACTGTCCTCCCCTCTGGCCCCCAACCTTGAGCGGTGGGTGGGGGCCATAAATAAAAATTGGGGGGGGACCTAATGTCCTCCCCCCGGCCCCCACCCCTGTCATGCATGGAGGTTGGGGGCCCTGAATAACAATTGGGGGAGCCTACTGTCCTCCCCCCGCCCCCACCCCTGAGCAGTGGGTGAGGGCCATAAATAAAAAATGGGTGGGGACCTAATATCCTCCCCCCACCCCTGAGCGGTGGGTGGGGGCCATCAATAAAAATTGGGGGGGACCTAATGTCCTCCCTCCCGGCCCCCACCCCTGCACGGCGGGTGGGGGCCCTAAATAACAATAAGGGGTGGGACCTTTTGTCCTCCCCCCTGTCCCCTACCCCTGAGCGGTAGGTGGGGGCCATAAATAAACCCCCCCAGTTGACTAAGGGTCCCCAGACCTCTAGTCACCCCCCTCCCAAAAAAAAACAAAAAACTAACCCCTACCTACCCCCATCACCCTAAACATAATGGCGGGGGGCATTAACTAAGTACCTGTTAAAAAAAGATAAAATAAAACTTACCATTTGATGTTTACGTTCTTCTAAAATCTTTTTTCAGCCTCAAAAAAGGCCAAATCAAAATCCATAATAACCGACGCACTTTAAAAAAAAAACAAAAACAAAAAAACGAGCGCAAAAAAAAAGCAATCTTCACCTATGGAGGGCTCCGCGCAGCCTAAGCTCTGCAGGGCGGGGGAAGGCTTATAAAGCCTTGCCCCGCCCTGCAATTAGGCTCAGAGCACTCTGATTGGTGGGTTTAAGCCATCCAATCAGAATGCGCTGACAGGTAAATGAAGAGACTGGCAGGCAAGCTGTTCTTTGGAATTTTCCCACGCTGTGTAAAATGACACAGAGCACTCTGATTGGTGGATTAAGTAACCAATCAGAGTGCTCTGTGTCATTTTACAGCCCAGTTTTCCAGGTTCCCAATGCTGGGTCACCAGTTACATGCCACCATGTACCCCACATCGACAGCACCATTCTGAATATTTTCTATCAATTCCCTATATCCATCTGCTTCTAAGCTCAGTCAGCACTAAATAATATTGCATGAAAATGAGAGATGATACATTGTACTCCCATTAAAACTGACCAGCAGCAAACACCAGATATGCCTCACTCTTCTTAAACCGTCCATCTTCATCTAGGAAGTTCTCAGGATTGAAAGATTCTGGGTTTGGAAAGAAATCTGGATCTTTGTGAGCAGAGCTCAAGAAAAGGTAGACATCGGTTTCCTGAAAATAAGGGAAAAAAAAAAATACAAAAAAATTTCTGTCACGATTATTTTGTGCAGGGAATAAAGGGTGCCTGATGCACCTCCTGTACAAACCTTAGGAATATTGTAACCATAAAATTCTGTGTCCTCTGTCATCCTACGTGGCATGCTAAATGGTACTAGGTCATTGTATCTGAGGAACTCATGGATCACTGCCTCTGTATATGGCATCATTCCCTTGTCCTGGTATGTAGGACAGCGATCTCTGCCTATTACGCGATCAATCTCCTCGTGGACTTTTTCTGGTAAAAAAAAAAAAAAATAGCTTTAAAGTACTTAAAGAGCAAATATTGAAATACATAAATAGATAATTTAGTCACAACACTACTTCCATGGATCAATGAATAATTTAACTACAAATAATATAATTTGTAAAAGGGACTCTTCCCTCAAGACAACTAAATCTCAATGACATTGCTTTGACCTCTGGAGCTCCTGGGCAAAGTCTTATCTTAAGGTGTTAAATGGTTTTCAAACAGTTTAACACTTAAGGTGTTTCCCTAGTGCACAGAATTCTGCTGTCCAGTCCATTCTCCCAGGCAATGTATTGAGCAGGGATGAAAGTAACTGACAAGCTTTGGGATCTGGTGATTGACTGAGAGTGTGAACTGATGCTATCAGCCTATCACTGGCTGCCCAGTTTAATTCATTCAAGGAGTGACAGCAAGCACATAGAAATAAGATAAAATAGAAAATTAAAACACAAATTACAGTTCTGGAAATACGTCTAAATTAAATTCTTTTATTTTTTTATGTGTTTTTTTTTTTAAATTTACAATTTTAATTCCTTTAATATTTATGTAAAGGATGAAAATATTTTCTCTGAAGAGCTTATATGATATCTACATATTCCCAGGAGGAAAGCTTTTAGCAGAAGCAATACCTTGGATATCAGGATATTTGAGAAGAAGCAGGAACCCATAGGTCAATGTTATACTGGTGGTTTCCATCCCAGCGAAGAAGATCTGGAGAGTGCTACAGATCAAGTTGTCCATGTTGAATTCTGTGTTGGGATTCCGTTGCTAGTTACATTTATAAAGACTTTGTTAAGTTAGAAGATTAATATTTAGGTTACATACATCATTGTGAGGGAATGCCTCCCAACATGCTTAGTTTCCAAAGCCAGGTTATCCATTAGGCAGCCTCCTAGGGTCCAGGCTCAGACAGAGGCCTAGTGGGCTCATGTCTGCACCCGGATTTCCAAATTTGGCTGTAAAGGGGTTCCTCCTTGAACTGGCAGGGAGATCAAAAAGATCTCATTGCTTGGCCCTGGGCCATTTCACTTCATTGAGGGAGTTGTGTCTGGTCCACTATCAGGTGAAAACCACTTTAAAAGATCCCTCGTGATTCACCGGCATTTTTCAGTGACTGTGCTTTGAGTCATTTACTGGGTGCCAGACCACAAAAGAGCTTATTAAATTGGAACAGACCACAATACTTCCCCCACCAGACCACCAGGGATTGCTCTCCACTCGGGAAGCAGGAAAAGAGAAGCAGTAGGGGTGTAAACATATAACAAAGTCACACTCAGCACCCCCCCCCTCCTCCCATACAACTATTCACAACACTCACACTCACAGAACAAACCCAAGTGCTCTAGAAGGGTGCCCCAATCTGGCACACAGCCTGGAACCTTGAGCAACATTAAACCTCCTCTGTTATTTTCGGTGACCTTACTGGAGGTGGGGGTAACATTCCACCTGGGATATGTAGTGTATATAAGGTAAAAATTCAGCTTTTTTCTTTTTCTTATAAAGGTTTTAATGTAATAATTTACCTAGCTTTTTAAAAATGGGAAAATAAGTAATAACTGGGGAGGGGGGAAACAACACAAAGACATTCCATCCTTGTAATCGGTAATGTCCATCAATATCTATGTTTCATATGTTTTAATGATATTAATATTATTAAAGCACTGACTTGTTCAGCAGCACTGTACAATATGCAGACTAACTGACATGGATTTGCCATAAGACGAGCTGGACGCACAGGAACAGAATGTGTTGAGGAATATGAGACAACCTTCATGTTTTAAGCTGTGTGTTCGTGGGAAAATGTGTCCAGATTTGGGCTTTTGGTCTTACAATGTTCTACCTTTTGTATCTTCAGAAGGAAAGCATCAATGTAATCTCGAGGGCAGTTGACGTCCAGTGTCTTCTGGTTTAATTCAACTCTCTTCCTTACGAAGGAGACAATATCTTCCATGTGATTGAAGATTTTTTTATGGGCACCAGGTAAATATTTCATTATTCCAGGAATTAAATTTGATAGCTAGAAATATAAAGCACAGATTCAATAGAACATTTTATATACTAAGAGGGAATTTCTAAATGTCTCCAGATGTTTTCCAACATTTTTCTCTAAATCTCTAAATTTGTATGTGTATATTCAGCTCAGATACCTTTGCAGAATTAACAAAGTGGAAATAAACTTGCTGTCCGGGGCAGTTAATATTTAATAATATCGAGGCCTGTTTCCTGTATTCATGAGGCGGGATTGATGCCTCCGTTAACTTGTCATGAATATAAACATCCAAAAACCTTTAAAAAAAATAAATGTCAAAGAATTCCAGTGATTGAATTATTAACCAACCGACCAATAGAAAAGCAAAACTAGTAGGGAAAAAAGAAAAAACAGAATCAGGGTCCCAAGAAAACCTGAAGCTTCCTGGGACAGTATGGATAAGGAGTAGTTACGACCACCTTAAGACATACCAAATTCATACCTTCAGTTTGGGGCAGTGATTGGTTGTGAATGCTCAGCTGATACCCTTGCATGGTTATTTATTACAGGGACACAATAGTGTTATAAATACAAAGCTGTATTCCTATCATAGTGCACCTGTGTGCCACCCCGAAACCCACCATGAAATCAGCACTGGGGGGGAACCTAATGCGCATTTGGCAATCCCCACAGAAAAGCATTGACTCTAAGTTTTTCTTTGGTTAAATTGAGGACATCCAGTGTTCTTTTCACAGAGTTAAACTCTGAAGCAGCAGGAAGCGCCTCTAGTGGCTGTTTGGTAGATCATGACGTGACCACCCATCTGTCCACAATCATTCAATTCGCGCCAAAAGAGTTCTCCCTGGAAGGCATATGCGTTCCAACGTCAGTTAATTTCCCTTTTTCATTTTCCGGCACTATGGCGTTATCCGAAAGTACAAAGAAAGAATGTAGCGCTTGTACAATAAATCAATAAGTTATCACCTTTTAGTAGGTTTTTAGAGGAGTTGTTTTACTTGAATAGCAGATAGATGTCTAGAAAGAAAATAATCGAATATAGTGTAGATGGTTTATAACTGAATAATATTTAAAACAGAGATTGCTGTATAAACTCACAAATGAGGAGCTATAGACCCAGCTCTGGCTTAAATCGCTTTTGGATCTGTTTAGGCGATCCACCCCTTTTGGTGCTGTATATCTTCTCCTGAAGGGGAGGATAAAAGCAGAAACGGTTGTCCGAAAGTAGATGTGTCGAACTTCTTTCCTCTGTGGAACTCATTAATACATTAATGCGTTCCACTCCTCAAACATGACATCCTAAACTTCAATAGATGAACGGAAGAGTTCTTTAATAGAGTTGAGCGGGCACCTGGATGTTCGGGTTCGCGAGTTCGGCCGAACTTCGTCAAACGGTTCGAGTTCGGGCTCGAACCTGACCCCGAACTTGACCCCGAACCTCATTGAAGTCAATGGGGACCCAAACTTTTGGGCACTAAAATGCCTCTAAAAAACTCCTGGAAAGGGCTAGAGGGCTGCAAAAGGAAGTAAAATGGGCAGGACAAGTGCCCTGCAAACAAATGTGGATAGGGAAATCACTTAAAATAACATAAAATACATAAAAAAATACAGCTGAGCCATAAAATAGCACTAGATGGAATCTTTGGTTTTAGCTTTGGAAGAACATAAATCAAAATCTAAAGCATGGCTGTCAGGAGGATCACCAGAATTATCTATTTAAGAGAGGATTGGAGTGCAGGGTATTCTCTTTCATTGTTCAAACTGAGCTCAACTCCTGATGCATGGAGAAAAGGCCTTCACAAGCCCCTGCTATTGTGTACATACTTTATACTAAGTGACCCATAGGTTGAGGAGGCGTTGACCGTGGCGGTGTAGGTGCCAAAATATTGAACATATAAAAAAGAAACATTTGCGGCCTGCGGTGCATTTCTTGCAGTCCAATAACGCCATCGGGTTTTTAAAACTGTCAGTCTCCAGACGGAGTGACAGCATTTCAAAGGCCAGGAATTTTTAAATGCTGGCATTCAGGGCCAGGAATCGCGGGGTGGGTAGGGGGGTACTTCCTCTTTCTCTCCAGTGTTTGGGAGATGGACAGCTTAACACTTCCATGGGACAGGGTGGAGATGCTTGGGGACGGTGGCGGACATGGTGGCGTTGCTGCCACATCCTCTGTTTGTGGGGTGGCAGGTGTCACTGTCACTCCAGAGGTGGAGGAAGAGGCAAAGACAGCAGCAGAAGAGGAAGCAGGAGGAGCCTGAGACCTTTCTTGGTTTTTGAGGTGCTTACTCCACTGCAGCTCGTGCTTTGCATGTAGATGCCTGGTAATGCAGGTTGTGCTCAGGTTTAGCACGTTTATGCCTCGCTTAAGGCTCTGATTGCACAGCGTGCAAACCACTAGTGTCTTGTCAGCACATTGTCTGAAGAACTGCCACGCCAGGGAATTCCTTGGAGCTGGCTTTGGTGTGCGGTGGGCAGTAGCAGGCATACTGTCTAGGGGATGGCCGCTCCGCTTTTGCACCCTGGTCTAGGAGGAGGAGGTGGATGTGGAGTAGGAGGTTGAGGAGGCAGTGACCGTGGTGGTGTAGGTGGAAGCAGCGGTGAAGGCGGAAGAGGTAGTTAACACTGTTTTTTATTTGTTTGTTTGTTTTTTTTTGTTTTTTTTTATTGGGGTAGCCCCCAAAATATTAGGACATATAAAAAAAGAAACATTTGTGGCCTGCGGTGCATTTCTTGCAGTCCAATAGCGCCATCAGGTTTTTAAAACTGTCCGTCTCCACCAGACGGAATGACAGCATTTCAAAGGCCAGGAAATATGAAATGCTGGCATTCAGGACCAGGGATCACAGGTGGCTAGGGGGTACTTCCTCTTTCTCTCCAGTGTTTGGGAGATGGACAGCTGAATGCTTCCATGGGACAGTGTGGAGATGCCGGACAATTATGTACCTGGCCTATGCTGGTGCAGGAACTCACCCTCCGAGCCACTTGTGAATAACTGGCCTGATAACCATGGAAATGACCCCTCTTCCTCCCCCTCTTCCTCCTTTGCCACATCCTCTTCCATCATCGCCCAAAGCGTTTTTTCAAGGAGACATAGAAGCGTGATAGTAAGGCTGAGAATGGCGTCATCAGCACTGGCCATGTTGGTGGAGTACTCGAAACAACGCAACATGGCACACAGGTCTCGCATGGAGGCACACTCATTGGTGGTGAAGTGGTGCTGTTCCGCAGAGCGACTGACCCGTGCGTGCTGCAGCTGAAACTCCACTATCGACTGCTGCTGCTCGCACAGTCTCTCCAGCATGTGCAAGGTGGAGTTCCAGCTTGTGGGCACATCGCATATGAGGCGGTGAGCGGGAAGGCCGAAGTTACGCTGCAGCGCAGACAGGCGAGCAGCAGCAGGGTGAGAACAACGAAAGCGCGCACAGACGGCCTGCACTTTCTGCAGCAGCTCTGATATATCTGTGTAGTTTTTCAGGAATTTCTGCAGGACTTGTGTGGAGCCAGAGGAATAACGCCTGGTGGGTGTAACAAGGCCAAATTGACTGTTGTGCTCATGGAGGACGACCAGGCACGCAGTGAGGCAACGAACCTCAGCCAGGGGCCGGAGATGAGGAGGAGGTGGACCGGCGCCTGGCATATTACCAAGAGCCACCCACATAGGAGATCATCAGCAGGACCTTTTTGGAGGTGCAAGCCTATGTCCTTGCCAATAGACAGAGGGCGACCTCCATGAACCCAGATGAAGGAAGAAGGGAGCAGAGGGCGCTGGGAAGCACAACCACCCTGGCCCACAAGCTACCATACAATGCCTTCAAAGAGTTCAAGGAAGCAGAAGGCGGCATTTATGACTTTTTACAAGACTTTGAGTTCCAGTGCCTACTTCAAGACGTGGACCCCAGCGACTGGGTCACCATCCTGGCCAGCAAACTAGAGGGGAAGGCACCGGGCTGTACCAGAAGAGCAGATCAGAGACTATCCCTTTATTACACAAATCCTCCTGGCCCGGTATGCGGTCACCCCCGAGCAATACCGTCGAAAGTTTAGGGAGACCCGGAAAGGGGAGAAGGACTCCCATGTGAAATGGGCATGCCGCATCACAAGGGCCACCCAGAACTGTCTCAACTCCCATCAAGCCAAGTTCCCGGAGGAGATCACCCAGCTCGTCATGCTAGAGCACTTTTTCAATGGGCTCCCGAACAACACGGCTGGTGAGAGACCACCAGCCCCAGACCCAAGAAGTATTGGTATGAGCTGCTGAAGCTAGCTCACGATATCCCTTTTGCAGGTAATTTGTGCAGGAGCCGGACAGTGTCTTGGCTCACCCAAAGCTTCTTCTGGCCAGGAATCTCTCAGGATCTGAGGCAGTACTGCCAGATGTCTGCCAGAGAGTGGGGAAGAAAAGGGACTGGCATAGGGCCCCCCTCCATCCCCTACCTATTAGTGAAGATCAGTTCGGCAGAGTAGCTGTCGATATTATAGGTCCCCTAGCCAAGCCTAGTCCCTCTGGGAAGAAGTACATTCTGACCATCGTGGACTACGCGACCCTGAGCAGTATTCGGGCAGAGAAGCCTTGATGTGAGTGTTCTCCACGATGGGTTTTCCCCGGGAGATTCTCTCAGACCAGGGCACCCAATTTACTGCCGAAATGACCCACCAACTGTGGAGATTGTGCACAATAAACCAATCCTGAGCTCCCCTTACCACCCCCAGACCAGTACGTTGAAGCAAATGCTCCGTACCTTTGCGGCGACTCACAAGGATTGAGAGAGATTCCTGCCCCATCTCCTGTTTGTCTATCGGGAGGTGCCACAGGAATCGACTGGGTTCTCCTCGCTCGAACTGCCACGCCAGGGAACTCCTTGGAGCTGGCTTTGGTGTGCTCGGTCCCCGGGTGCGGTGGGCAGTAGCAGGCGTACTTTCTAGGGACGGCTGCTCCGCTTTTGCACCCTGCTCTAGGAGGAGGAGGTGGATGTGGAGTAGGAGGTTGAGGAGGCAGTGACAACGCATTTGGATGTCTCCCCTATCAACTTTCGATGTTATTATCTGCGCCTACCATGGTGACCATGGGTTACTGGGAATCAGGGTTCAATTCTGGAGAGGGAGCCTGAGAAACGGCTACCACATCCAAGGAATGCAGCAGGCATGCAAATTACCCACTCCCGACGCAGGAAGGTATAGACGATAAATAACAATACAGGACTCTTTCCAGGCCCTGTAATTGGAATGAGTCCACTTTAAATCCTTTAACGAGGATCTATTGGGGGGCAAGTCTGGTGCAGAGCGACTGACCCGTGCATGCTGTAGCTGAAACTCCGCTATCACCTGCTGCTGCTCACACAGTCTCTCCAGCATGTGCAAGGTGGAGTTCTACCTTGTGGGCACGTCGCATATGAGGCGGTGAGCGGGAAGGCCGAATTAACGCTGCAGCGCAGACAGGCGAGCAGCAGCAGGGTGAGCGCGCACAGCAGCTACAAGTGAAACTGCGAATGGCTCATTAAATCAGTTATGGTTCCTTTGATCGCTCATTCTGTTACTTGGATAACTGTGGTAATTCTAGAGCTAATACATGCCGACGAGCGCTAGGGGATGGCCGTTCCGCTTTTGCACCCTGCTCCCTCTTATGCTGTGCTGGTGCCTCTGTGCGACACCTCCTCTTCCTCCAAACTGCACACGTCACTCGCATGACCTTCATTCCATGTCAGATCTAGGACCTCATTATCCTCCACATCATCTTCCACCCATTCCTCAACCCTGCCCTCCTTGCCGGTCTGCACACTGCAGAAAGCCACAGCAGTTGGCACCTGTGTTTTTCCAGCATGTAAAGTCTGCAAAGGACATATGGAAATTGTTTTAGAATTGTATCCAGGCAACAGTTTTCTCTATAAACTGACCTCTCAGTTTGACTTGTGAGGGTATTGCCCCAGAATTACAATAAGTACCTTTTAAGTACCTCTTCGCTATTGATAAATCTGGTTTAAAGCAGCTTGTTATCTGGTAGTTTCTAGTGTAGAAAATATCAATCTGTTTTCCATCACTTAGATCTGTGTAACAAGTTTTGTAGGTGTGATACAATATTACAAGTGGCCGATGTAGTAAATTCTAATCAAAGTTCCATTTGCAAAAAAAATTCTCGCCCATCTTCTGTGGGTTATTGCATTTTTAAGATGTAGACTTATTGTATCTCACTAGCCATGCACAGGTAGATTGTCTGGCACATTGTTTTGGTGTTTGGTTTTTAACTTTGTAGTTGTGTCTTTACACAATATAGAAATGTATATTAATGTTTCTGTATATGAAGCGATCACAATAACACTTATTTTTCACTTTTTTAAAAAGTCTTTAGACTTTCTTGAGAAGCGGTAACTAGCCAGTGTTGCACACATACACCAGATATGAAGTACACACCCCAAATGTACTATTTAGCAGCAAAAAAATGGAATTTTAAAAACTGCACTGTAAGCACAGTATTTGACGGTTCTATTTGACTCTCAGATATGAAGTGCAGCGCAGGCCGCAAATGTACTATTTAGCAGCAAAAAAATTTGAATGTGTAAAATGCGATGTAAGCACAGTATTTCACGGTTCTATTTGACTCTCATATATGAAGTGCATACCCCAAATTTACTATTTAGCACCTAAAGAATTCGAAATTTTGAAACTGCTATGTCACAACAGTATTTGACGGTTCTATTTGACTCTCAGATATGAAGTGCAGGCCCCAAATGTACAATTTAGCACCTAAAGAATTTGAATGTTTAAAAATGCGCTGTAACCACAGTATTTGACGGTTCTATTTGACTCTCAGATATGAAGTGCACGCCCCAAATGTACTTTTTAGCACCTAAAGAATTTAAATATTTAAAACTGCAATGTAAGCACAGTATTTGACGGTTCTATTTGACTCTCAGATATGAAGTGCACGCCCCAAATTTACTTTTTAGCACCTAAAGAATTTGAATGTTTAAAATTGCGCTGTAACCACAGTATTTGACGGCTCTATTTGACTCTCAGATATGAAGTGCACACCCCAAATTGACTTTTTAGCACCTAAAGAATTTGAATGTTTAAAAATGTGCTGTAACCACAGTATTTGACGGCTCTATTTGACTCTCAGATATCAAGTGAACCGCAGGCCGCAAATGTACTATTTAGCAGCAAAAAAATTTGCATTTTAAAAACTTCGCTGTAAGCACAGTATTTGACGGTTCTATTTGGCAGCAAAAAAAATTTGAATTTTTAAAACTGCGCTGTAAGCACAGTATTTGACGGTTCTATTTGACTCTCAGATATGAAGTGCAGGCCCCAAATTTACTTTTTAGCACCTAAAGAATTTAAATATTTAAAACTGCAATGTAAGCACAGTATTTGACGGTTCTATTTGACTTTCAGATATGAAGTGCACCGCAAATGTACTATTTAGCACCAAAAAGTTTGATTTTTTTAAATCAACAATGTAACAGTAGTATTTAAGGGTTTTATTGGACTGCAAGAAATGCAGTACGCAAATGTACTATTTAGCACCACTGAGCTACCAGAACAGGATTAAAGTAATGTGCCTGGCACACATGCAGTTGCAAGTGCACTGCATTTTCTGTGGCACTGGGCTCAGGGCAGGGTACAAAAATGTGGTATTATAGCACCCACAAAAATAATCGCTGTAGTTTGAATAATCGCTGCAGTTTGCAGATTCAACACCAGAATTCTTTCCTAATACGTCCCTCACAGCTGCAGCATCCTCTCCCTACACTAATAAGAGCTCATGTGCGTGCGGCGCTGCGCGACTCCAGCTTATATATAGAGACTGGGTCACATGCTGCACTAATGGCATGGCTGTGAGTGCTTCTAGGGGCACACGAGTCAAACGCTTGTTGATCGGCTGCCCTGATATGTCCGTGTTCGGGTCGTAGTCCAAAAAAATGTAATGTTCGGTACGAACCCGAACTTTACAGTCTTTGTTCACTCAACTCTATTCTTTAACCATTTGGATTTTTTCTTTTCAAGAGAAAGACGGCTCTTTGTATAAATGTCCATGATACACTCAAAAACAATAAGAAAAATATATAAACGGAAAAAATCATAAATATAATTCTATATGAACTATAATTAATAAAGAGATAATATTCAGGGTGGGTAGATCTGCAATTCCGAATCCCCTACTCTGAAATTAACACACCAAAGAGACACTCCAGTGGTGTCTCGGGGCTTAACCCCTGTTGGTCTATGAAATTAACTGGAACTTCCTACTTCCAGAGAAGAACTCTCTATGGAGGTGTTACCTGGAGGGAAGAAGATTAGAATGCATATTCTCTTGATTGAGACGCTACACATCAGATACTAATTGTAGATATTCTGACCACAACTAGTATCTGGTGAGTAGCGTCTCAATCAAGAGAATATACATTCTAATGTAATCCAGTACAAAATTTAGTCAAGAAAAAAACCTTATGTGCAACGAAAATATATTTTAAATATATAAATGAAAAATAAATAAAAAAGTAAAAACATAAAATTAACTAATGCCCCCCCACCCAACTAGTATAACTAAGAGAGTGATTTAATCCATTATAATATATAAGACAAAAAAAAATAGGAATTTAGGTAATAAAACATATATAAAAAATTAAATCGTTGCACATAAATAAAAAATAAGAAATAAGTAAAAAAAATCTAAAAATTATAAGAAACACACGTAGTCGAAATCAAATCAAGCCCTTATTTGCATGGTTTGGACTTTATAGTATATCCAAAAACCCTCCCTTCTTGTTCGATGACAGTGAAAGATAACCTATGTGGGTCAAAGGATGGGCATTGATTGCAATGACAAGGGACTGAATGTGTATGTAAACGTCTTCTAATGTTATTAGAGTGTTCAAGGAAACGCACCTTTGCTTGTCTACCTGTTCTTCCAACATATCGTGCACCGCACCCACAAGTTAGCAGGTATGCAACATGCGAGGAAGAACAGGTGACATATTCTCTTATTTTATTTTTCTTTGGTAGAAGTGCTTTGCAATCAATGGACATTGCAATCAATGTCCAACCTTTGACCCACATAGGTTATGTTTCACTGTCATTGAACAAGTACATCTACATGACGGGGGCGGGGGAGGAAGGATCATTATGAATGAATTAAGAAGAAAAGAGGATGTTTAGATATATAAACTCCAAACCATGCAACCTAAGGGCTTGAGCGTTAATTTCAAATTGGTGTGTTTCTTATAAGTTTTCTTTTTAATTTTTTATTTATGTGTGTAGAATATTGTATATTCTATGTTTCTATTGATTATATATGGATGTGTGGATTGACATAAGTAACAGATGGTATAAGTTACAAGGCTTTCTTTGTCCGAGAGCTCTGCAATGTGGATGTGGGGGTTTTGTCCTTATATGGCTATGAGCACATCTATATAGTAACAGAGGGGCACGAGGTTGCTCTCTCTTGGCTCTGGGCTGTCTCTGGCTCTCTCTCTCAATGTAAAGATGTAAGGATGTAAAGAAGTCCAGCAATTACCATCTTCTGTTGAATGTCCATCATCCTGTAACATCATTATAAAGAAAGCAGCACAAGATACAACGTGAAGTCTAGAAGCAAGCACGTGGCAGAGATTGGCAAGCGTCCAGAATCAAGCCCAGAACTGCGCAGCTGTACGAGTAAAAAGCAGGCTAAAAGCAGACCGTGTCGTGCATTAAAGATCAACTTGTCTGGTGAGTAATAATGGATTTTGTTACTGATATTGCAGATAAAAGTAAACTTGATTTTGTGTTTAATAGATGCTATACAGATAGTCAATTGTGGGCAAGTTTGTATGAGCAATGTAAACAAGCAAATTCAGCTATTGATAATAAACTGTTATGTTTAATAAAACAAAAAAGAAAATTAGAAATGTTTTAAAATTGGTAGAAACCTTTGACACAATGATCCTTAGAACAGGAGTGGCTCCAACAAAATTGCAAGTACCAGCACAAGTAAAGGTGCAAGATTTAAAAAGTACACAGACAGACATTAAAGAGAAATCTGTATGTGTAACAGGAATGAAATGTACTAACTATGATAGACTACAGGCAAGTATTTGTGATTTGGGAGAACAGCTGGATCTTAAATCTGAATTCATTTGTAAACTTAGAACTGAAGCCAAACAGTTGTGTGTGATTACAAGGAGTGATCATAATTTGATACTTGAGCCAGTTGATGTCACAGAAATATCATCCCAATCTGATTTGCAACGTAGAAAATTGTTAGATAAGCCTGCAAAACTTAAATTAAAAATTCAAGAGCAGCTGATGAAAGTTACCAAAGATATTTCCCCATATAATCCATCAATGGATGCCTTTGGTAATGCAGACGTATTTGGGTCTAATTTATCTAAACATAATTTGAATGACGAACAAAGGAACAGATTGTTTAAAATATGGCTGCTAACATACATTGCACGTAGACTGACTCCACCCATAATTACCACTAATGACAAAGATGGTGAAATAGTCCATGGGAATGAGTGAGATAGATTGACACAATTAATAAGATTAACAACAGGAAATGAGCATGTGGATATTGAGATTTTAGAAAAATTTAAATGAAGATGTCTTCAGTTTCCTTTTAAAATTTGAGCGTGCATACAGATTGGTAATGAGTATTCCTGATGATCAGACACCAAAATCTATGGTAAATAACATTTTGTTATGGTTTATTATTATTTGGGATAGCGATAGCGATAGCGATAAATAAACCATAAACAGAGGGAAATGTAGAATATTGCATATTCTATATGTTCCTATTCAAATACATATTAAGGTGTGGCTGTCTAATGGTTTAAACAGAACAGATGGCATTTGCTATTCTGTACCATGAGGTCTCTGGAATTTGGAGTTGGGGGTTTTGTCCTTATATGGCTAGCGTTAAACTCTAACGTCAGTATGAGCACATCTATATAGTAACAGAGGTCGCTCTCTCTTGGCTCTGGGCTCTCTCTCTCAATGTAAAGATGTAAGGATGTAAAGAGGTCCAGCAATTACCATCTGCTGTTGAATGTCCATTATCCTGTAACATCATTTATTATGTTTTATTATGTATCCGTAACTAAGAATAAACATGAGGAAACCATAAGTCAGATTGCGTATTGGTACTTTTCAATAATATAGACATATATTATTGTGGCAAGCATTTGGCCCAAGAATATATATACAAAAGACGTATATATATATATATATAGCAATCAACTGAAGACAAGAAGAAATTAAGAAGATGTAAAAATGTAGATGAATGGATGTTCATGTAGAATCTTCTTAATTTCTTCTTATCTTCAGTTGATTGATATATATACGTCTTTTGTATATATATTCTTGGTCCAAATGCTCGCCACAATAATATATGTCTATATTATTGAAAAGTAGTAATACGCAATCTGACTTACGGTTTCTTCAGGTTTATTCTTTGTTACGGATACATAATAAAACATAATAAAGGATGTTACAGGATAGTAGACATTCAACAGCAGATGGTAATTGCTGTACTTCTGATGGGAGAGTTACATTGTTGTACCGAGCCAAGCTAAGAGAGAGAGACCTTGTGTCCCTCTGTTACTATATAGAAGTGTTCATACTAACGTCAGCGTTTAACTCTAGCCATATAAGGAAAAACCCCCACACCCACATTCCAGAGCTCTCGGACACAGAAAGCCTTGTGACTTATTGATACCATCTGTTACTTATGTCAATCCACACATCCATATATATAATCAATAGAAACATAGAATATGCAATATTCTACAGAAGATTTAACAGTGAAGATCGTTCCAACCAGATTTTACAATGTGCAACTATTTTCTTTTTTATATATGTTTTATTACCTAAATTCATTTTTTATTTGTCTTCTATGTTATAATGGATTAAATCACTCTCTTAGTTATACTAGCAATGGGGGGGGTTAGTTTATTTTATATTTTTACATATAAGTTTTTTACTTTTTATTTCTTTTTCAGTTATATATTTAAAAATATATGTAAGTAGATTTTCGTTGCACATATGCATTGATGTGTTTCACAGAGGAAAGAAGATCGACACACCTACTTTCAGACAACGCCATAATGCCGGAAAAGGAAAAAGGGAAATGAACTGAGAACTCTTTCTCTTGTTGAATGATTGTGGACAGATGGGTGGTCACGTCCTGATTGGACGTTGGTGGCCTGGAACGGAATATTGTGGGTTTAAATATGGCGGGTTTGTATGGAGATCACATTGCACTTTTTTCCCCGTGAGGAAGTCTCTGAATTGAGACGAAACGCGTAGGGCGGATCCATAGGTGCTGCACGTTTTTTGTTTTTGATTTACATTATTTATTTATTATTTTTTATTCCCAACTTTCATCTGTCTGGTGAAGGACTCAAGGATGATTGTATCCAGTTCCCATAATCTATGATGTTATTGATGGGCTTTTTATCTACACATATCTTTTAAGTGTATTTTATATTTAAAAGTGCTGCATCATGGTCTCTATCTTTTATCTTTACACGCATCTCTGAATGTCCGGAGGATTTATCACCTACATTTTGATGGGCTCTATATACAAACTACATTTGTGAGTTCAACCTTGAATCATTAGCACCTTTTTGTGTTTCTACAGTATTTTATCTTTTTGTGATATTAATTACCCTTTTATAGATACCCAGCTGAATGAATTTATATTGAGGTTTTTTAGAGGATTCCTTTATTATTATTATTTTATTATTTATATAGTGCCATCTAATTCTGTAGCGCTGTACAATTGGTGGACTAACAGACATGTAATTTTAATCAGACAATTGGACGTACAGGAACAGAGAGGTGGAGGGCCCTGCTCAATGAGCTTACATTCTAGAGGGAGTGGGGTATAGTGACACAAAGGGTAAAAGTAGGGATACGAAGTAGGTTGTTAGAAAAGTATTCATTGAGGGCTTAGTAGGTAATTTTTGATAGTTGCAGGAGAGGAGTCATGGAGTGTGCGGGATGAAAACCTGCTAACTTTAATTGATATGCTTTCTTGAAGAAGTGAGTTTTCAATTATTTTTTGAATGAATGGAGACTGGGTGAAAGTCTTATGGAGAAGGGAGTTCCACAGAAGAGTGGCAGCCCTGGAGAAATCTTGGAGGCGAGCATTAGAGGTGGGCGTACTGACAGAGGATATACGTAGGTCTTTGGCAGAGCATAGGGGCCTCAATGGGACATACTTGTGTATTAGGGAGGATAGGTAGGTTGGAGCAGAATTATGTAGGGACTTGTAGGCAAGCACCAGAATTTTAAATTGAGCCCTATATCTAACTGGAAGCCAATGCAGGGACTGACAGAGCGGGGAGGCGTGGGAGCCTTGCCGCCGCATTCATTATAGATAGCAACGGTGCAATCTGGGAACACGTAACACCACTGAGAAGGGTATTGCAGTAGTCAAGGCGAGAGAGAACAAGAGCATGGACCAGCACCCTAGCCACATCCGGGGTTAATGTGGCTATGTTTTTGAGATGAAAGGGACAGGATTTGGCGATTTATATCTACTAAGTGGTTGTAATTGAAAGGGTAAACACCATTTTCAACTATATATGTGTGTGCAACACACGAGCACTGCACTTTTTGGTAAATGTAATTTCAAGTATTTTATTTTGGGGTTTATATTATTAAAGGGACACTCCAGGTTCCCATACACGTTAGGTGCACTGTGTAGGTTAGGTTACAGTTAGTTATACTGGGTGGGTTTATATTATGAAAGGGACACTTCAGGCTCCCACACATGTTAGATGCACTATGTAGGTTAGGTTACAGTTATACTGGGTGGGTTTATATTATTAAAGGGACACTCCAGGCTCCCACACACGTTAGATGCACTGTGTAGGTTTGGTTATAGTTAGTTATACTGGGTGGGTTTATACTATTAAAGGGACAGTCCTGGCTCCCACACACGTTAGATACACTGTGTATGTTAGGTTACAGTTAGTTATACTGGGTGGGTTTATATTATTAAAGGGACACTCCAGGTTCCCATACACGTTAGGTGCACTGTGTAGGTTAGGTTACAGTTAGTTATACTGGGTGGGTTTTTATTATTAAAGGGACACTCCAGGCTCCCACACACGTTAGGTGCACTGTGTAGGTTAGGTTACAGTTAGTTATACTGGGTGGGTTTATATTATTAAAGTGACACTCCAGGCTCCCACACACGTTAGATGCACTGTGTAGGTTAGGTTACAGTTAGTTATAATGGGTGGGTTTATATTATTAAAGGTACATATTTTGTTCCATAAGAACACCCACTTACAAACCTCAAGGTGCTTCTCTGTGCTGTGAAAATGTTGGTGTGAACACCAATATATTTTGGGGACTATAAGATACCTACAAAGTGATGTGTTTTATTTACATGTTACCTGTATAATGTATTTAAAAAGAATGGATTATCTGCTGCCTAGAATATTCAGTTCAGGCTTATCGGACTGATTGCTTACCTTGCCAGATATAGCACTTAGAAGATAGAATGTTTCATGCAGCCTAACAATCAATAACTTCAATTCTTCATCATCATATTCAAATCGCTGTCCAAATGTCAGGGAGCAAATGATATTGGTCGATGCTTGGGAAAGTATCCCAAAGGGATCAAACTCAGATCCTGCAACATACAGAATGTATTGCTGAGAAAAAGCTGAATTTACTGCATAAATAGTGCAAAGATCGATATCAAAGTGTAGCACATAGAATGTAGAACAATAAACGGCAGAGAAAATGTGCATTTATTATGTGTACGGTTATCTCAAAATTTTTATTTTTTTTAACAATCTTTATTGTAACGTGTACAAACAGCCTTAGCAAGCTTCATAATGTCATACAAGATTGTAAAGTTTTGAAAATAAAAAACAAGGCACTAATAGAACCCGTGTAGGTGTACAGCCAACTGACAATTTAGGTGATCTCTCCCTATTATAATACTGTATTTCTTCAATTAAACTCCCCTCTCCCTTTTCAATAAATGCTCAAGATTATTTGGACACTGTAATCATGCAATGATTCTGAAGGGATGCTTATTATACTAATAGGGAATATATAGAGACACAATATATCACCTGTCAGTTTTATGTTTATCTTTGGCAATGGATAATAAAGCCTGTTATATCATTGAATAGATGGTTAAATGGTTGTATTTTGCTATATTGCTGCAATCGTCTCACACATTGTTTACTGGTGAAGACATTTCATTCAATCAATTACTTAGTTTTATGAAATACCAAACCAGGGATTCTCACATGAGGTTTCCCTGATCTATTTCCAAAATTTATAGCCAGGCTGGTTATTTGTGTCCTAACGGTAAACATAATAAAATCTTGTAGATGAAGAACGTGTTTTAGACACGGAGATAAGGAATTTAAACGGTAGAAAGCATGATATAATTAGATATAGAGTATCAGAGGGCAGACAGAAATGAGGTGGATCTTTAATCTCCACCCTATGGTCCCTCATGGACTTAATAATGATTTTGAGATTTGCCATTTTTTTAATTTTTTTTATATAAATAATTTTTGCATTATTTTTAATATATATTTCTGTATATATCTCCATTTATATCGTGTTATTTACTTATTTATAGTCTATATACATATTACCTCCAACTAAATTATTTCTTAATTTTTATTCAATTTTTACTTTATTTGCAAAGTGTTTGGAACTCCACCAATCTGTATACCTCATCACAATTTACACAGAAGATCCATATCTCCATGTATTTGTTTGTACATCTGATTTTTGCAGGTCTAATACTCTGTTTTCTTCCCCATTTAAATAGGAATGGGAAGTCAAAAAAGTCTCTAATAATTTTAGATGTTATGAATTCTTGTACTTCACTTTATCCTATAATCTATACATGGCCACTTTAAGGAATGTTTAAATGGTTTTAATATAAATATATATATATACACACATTCACCTTCCCTAAAAACAGGATGTCTTCAGAACACCAGTTATGGACTGGACTAGTTCAATTATTCTCTGTGTAAAAACCATGATACAAGATTTTATTAATAAGAAATGCCACTTGATGTTTTCTGTTTTTTATCTGTATATGAAATGCTACTTTCTTTTTTTTGTTTGCTCTTATATGGAATTTTTAGGCTATTTTGATTGTACAATGTAAGTTTATACTAAATATTAATCGTCTACATTTTTGGGGACTTTTATACAAAGGTGTAATGGACCACCTGGCATCCCGACTGGATACATCCATTGATGGATACTCCTAGTGCTTCCTGAGGGCTCCAAGCGCTCTACTTGACACCATAAGCACTGCAGACCCCACGAACCGCCGCAGCTTGGTTTGGGGTCTCACTGTCTCCTACCCACGCTAGACCTACGACAAGGCTCCAGGCTCCAGTGGGTGAACCTCTCTTTCTTCAGAGAGCGAAGCAGGAACAAGCTCTTAAAAGAGCTTAGTGATTATAGCCAGGGGAGTATACAGCATATAGCAATCCCCAAAGTAGATGCAGCCTTTTCCCCCACGCATGAGACGAGGCTCTATGTTGAGGGTAAAACAGGAACTCAGCCGTCTGAGAGTTTATTGGCACTGATATACAGGTTTTCCCACAAGGTTACCACCCACATGGACCTTGTGGTACACAGGACACAGAGTTGCAAAGACCAATCAGGACAGACTTGTACATTTAGACACTCCCAAATAATGCACACAAACCTTCCCCTGTGCTTGGGAGATAATTGAGCAAGATACTGTATTAACTCAATTATCCCCAAGCAGAAAAAGCAAATTTTTACACATTTCTCATATCAAAATTATACATTCAATTCACATAAAACTTATATTTTCCGAACGGCACAATTATGGGAACAACATATTTAAAAATCATAGCAATCGGTTCAGGGGTTTGGAAGATTGATGGAAGTCACATTTGACAGACAGCAAGCATGGCTTTCATACCCAAAACAGTTCCCCATAGTTCACATACTATTCAAATGCACGAACGGGAGTCGTTCGTGTAAATAGCCAATGTTAAAGTGGCGTTCGAATTGTCAAATGTCGTTCAACTACTGTCGAAGCGTTGAAGTTCCAAAGAAGGTAAGGTTCAGCGGTGTTCGTCCTGTCACGTGTCCGATTTTTGTTCGATGGCAAAACACCGCTGACCGCGTTCAACTAAACAAGATGGCGACCACCCAGCCATTCATCTATTAGCTTGCGGTTAACCACCAGCCTGAGAGGTAAATTGGCTGCACACTCCACTTGCGTGTGGTCCGACTGTAGTTTGTTCGGTGAATTCCATTTACCAAACCACATAGTAAAAAGACACAAACAAGACTTTTTACAGGGGGAAAACAAAGTTTCAACACAGGGGCCATAATCCTGAGGCAAAAGGCGAGCAAATAGGCCCCTCCAGAACCCAGTGGTGAGATTATTTCCGCCACAAACGGTAATGGCAATACTGGACATTACAAGTGTAAAGTAATCGTGAACTATGCTAATAAAAGGAATCCAGGAACTACCAATGAGGATTCTGGTGTTTGCCCTTAAAATAAAAAGAGACAAATACCAGTATATACACCTCCCCAATGTGATCACAACAAAAATAAGTGATATTACCAATTTAGAACTGGACTGTAATGTAAACAGCGTAGAACTTGATTGGGGTATAAACTAAAATAGAAAAAACATAAAAAACATAGTGCAAACTGTATGATGAAAAATAAGTAATAGATAAATGTGTGACTCTCACTCACATTCTCCAGAGCCGTACCAGGCTCTGTATAACAGGCTCAGGGGTGCCAATAACTGGCTAACGATCCAGGTGGTCCAAATAGATGAGACTCCAAAGGTTAAATATAAAATATATTTATTTATAAAAATATATAAAAAATATATAAAAAAGTGTATACACTACTGGGCACTATGGGGGTGGAACCCAAAACGGACAAGGATATATATAAAACAACAATGGAATTCCACTTACCCCTATCTGTATAGTAGCCCAGAGTGACAGGAATACACATAAAATAACAAATACTAAATGCAGAAGATTGAAGCAGACGCGTTTCGGCCAACAGCCTTCCTCCAAGCACTGGAGGAAGGCTGTTGGCCGAAACGTGTCTGCTTCAATCTTCTGCATTTAGTATTTGTTATTTTATGTGTATTCCTGTCACTCTGGGCTACTATACAGATAGGGGTAAGTGGAATTCCATTGTTGTTTTATATATATCCTTGTCCGTTTTGGGTTCCACCCCCATAGTGCCCAGTAGTGTATACACTTTTTTATATATTTTTTATATATTTTTATAAATAAATATATTTTATATTTAACCTTTGGAGTCTCATCTATTTGGACCACCTGGATCGTTAGCCAGTTATTGGCACCCCTGAGCCTGTTATACAGAGCCTGGTACGGCTCTGGAGAATGTGAGTGAGAGTCACACATTTATCTATTACTTATTTTTCATCATACAGTTTGCACTATGTTTTTTATGTTTTTTCTATTTTAGTTTATACCCCAATCAAGTTCTACACTGTTTACATTACAGTCCAGTTCTATATTGGTAATATCACTTATTTTTGTTGTGATCACATTGGGGAGGTGTATATACTGGTATTTGTCTCTTTTTATTGTATTATGTAAATCTGGTGTATAAGGGAAGCACTAGGGTACCGGTTACACCATCTATTGTATATTTTTATTATATACAGAACTGTCACAATTACAGTGAAGCGCCTACGCACTATCTTTCTTTTTTTTTTTGCCCTTAAAATGCCCTCTTTCAAGATGGAGTTTACAATACGTCCTGAGGAAGCCGTCATCTAACGGCAAAATGCGTTGACGTCACTCAAGGAGGGCAGAGCTTGCCATTTGAACCGCACAGCGGATACTGGGAACCTTGTCAAGGAAGTTCTGCAAGGAGTCCGTTTCACATACAGAAGACGCCCGCCACCCACTGTACTGAACTTGTCTGTGAGTACCGGTATATGCCGTGGTTACTCACCACCTGTTCTTGTAAGAGGCAGTCATTTTATTGTTTTGATTTTAACTGTACTGTGAGCATGTGTTTTTCGGTACTTGCCATATCTATAGAATGTGCATAATAAACTTGTATTGTGAAGACATATACTTTGGCTTCCTATAGAAGCAATTTCTTTAATACACCTATATCTTATAAACAGTTTATTTTATACATGGGGTATATATAGAATTTCACTATTACAAATAGTGGTGTACCAAAGAAAAACATTTGATTCATCCATTTAAAGAAACGATTTGCACTGTCATTTCCTTTTTTCTCATTATATTGATTGAGTGCCACATACTGGAGGATTCAGAAATTACAGTTGTATACATCTTATATTATCACTATATATATATATATATATATATATATATATATATATATATATATATATATATATATATATATATCAAATTCTCACCATATATCTGATACTGCTCCACTTGTGATTATTTTTTAGTGTTTATTCTGTCTTTTGTGCAGTGGGATTTTTTTAGGCCACAAAATGCTCTTTTTAATTGCCTAATTAAAGAACAACATTTGATTCTTTAAAAAAAAAAAATGTTTAGCACTCCCGAAATTACTTATTCCTAGATATAGAGTATATACAACTTAGAGAGTTACTGTATAATATGCTGCTAGGTACACGTAAGGGTACAAATCAGAGGCATCCTATAAAAAGATATAAAGAAGCTAATAATGCATGCAAAAAGGTGATTCGATTCACTAAACTTCAGAATGAAAAAATTATAGTCAAAGAGAGCAAAACCAAACCCAAGGCATTTTTTAAGCAAATAAATTCAAAAAAAATAAGTAAAAAAATTAGGTTCACAAAAAAAAACAGGTTGGAGGTGTTAGTTAATGAAAACCAGGAAAAGGTAGAAATTTTAAATAACTATTTCTCCTCCGTATATATTAAGGAAGAACCTATGGCAATAGATGTGCAAATGATTGCTGCAAAAAACTTGCAGAAAAATTGTAATTGGTTAACTCAAGACAAGGTGCTGCAGCAACTAAATAAAGTTAATATAAACAAAGCTCCAGGGCCTGACGGTATCCATCCACGTGTACTTAAGGAACTGAGTGTAGAAATAAGTGAACCTCTGTTTTTAATATTTTGAGATGCTTTTCTTTCAGGAAGTGTAGAGGAGAAGGCAGATGTGGTTCTCATATTTAAAAATGGTTCGAAATCCTTGCCTGGAAATTCTAGACCTGTGAGCTTAACTTCTGTGGCTGGGAAAGTAATTGAATGTTTATTAAGGGATAATATTCAAGAATTCTTTGAGAAGAACGTGGTTATCAGCAAAAATCTGCACGGTTTTATGAAGCACAGGTCATGTCAAACTAACCTGATTGCATTCTACAAATAAGGAAGTAGAATTATAGATCAGGGTGTTGCAGTGGATGTGATCTATTTGGATTTTGCCAAGGCGTACAGTTCCACACAATAGATTAGTGTTCAAACTCAAAGAAAATCGGTCTAGATGAAAATTCTTCTTCTTGGGTAGAACATTGGCTTACAAAATAGAGGGCAGAGAGTTGTCATTAATGGTAAATTTTCAAGCTGTGCCTCTCAGGGTTCAGTTCTGGAGCCCCTTCTATTTAACATGTTTATAAATCATCTTGCAAAAAAGCATTAGAACTCATGTTTCAGTGTTTGCAGACAACACAAAACTCTGTAAAGTAACACAATGTGAGCAAGATATTACTTTGCTGCAGAGGGATTTATATAGATTTGGGGACTGGGCACTCAAATGGCAAATATAATTTAATGTAGAACAATGCAAATGTATGCACTTCAGCATAAAGAATGCATAAGCAACTTATACCCTTAATGGTAGCAAATTAGGGACAACAACACACAAGATGGACTTGAGAATTGTTGTAGAAATCAAACTATGCAACAATGTGCAATGTCAATCAGCAGTGGCTAAGGAGAGTAAGGTATTGTCATGCATGAAAAAGGACATTCATTCTCAGGGTTGAGAATATAATTTTGCCTCTTTAAATATCGCTGTGCAATTTTGGGCACCTGCTCTAAACAAGGATTTTATGGCACTTGAAACAGTGCAGAGGCGAGCTACAAAATTAATAAAAGGAATGGAACATTTTAGCTATGAAGAAAGGTTAACAAATTTTAACCTCTTTCGTTTAAGAATATGTCGCCTCAGAGGGGATATAATAACATTACACAAATATATCCGGGGCCAATACAAACCATTGTGTGGAAATCTATTCATCTTTTTACAAACTGAACTATACATATGACCTGAAAGTAATTGAAAGTAACTGAGGTCATGCGTTTAGACTGAAAGAAAGAAGATTTCATCTAAGGCAAAGGAAAGGGTTTTTTTACTGTAAGAACAATCAGGATGTGCAATTCTCTGCCTGAAGAAGTGGTTTTATCAGAGTCCGTCCAGATGTTTAAACATCAACTAGATGCATACTTGCAAAAACAGAATATTCAAGGATATAATCTTTCAATGTAGGGTAATAACTGCTTGATCCAAGGATAAATCTAACTGTCATTCTGGGGTCAAGAAGGAATTTTTTTCCTAGCTTGTTGGAAAATTGGAAGTGCTTCAAACTGGGGTTTTTTGCCTTCTTTTGGATCAACAGCAAAAAACAAATGTGAGGTAGGCTGAACTTGATGGACGCAAGTCTCTTTTCAGCTATGTAACTATATGTATAATGGAACATTTCCATTGTTTAATGATTAAAATTAGTTACTTTGCGTGATATTAAATTGCAAACTAGTTGCTTGTAGAAGGTTATTTTATGGTGCAGACATTGAGAAACAAACCTTTATTTTTCCTAAATTCTGTCACCAGGCATTTTGCTTCCTCCAGAACAAGAGATTCGACACTCCTCTTCCCCATGCCAAAATCCCTCAAAACAGAAACAGAGAAGGACCTCAGCTCCTTCCATCTCTCAAAATTAGTGGAGAATGCAAATCCTGTTAAAATGTCAAAGATATCAAATTCAGCACAAAAAAAAAAAAAAAAATATTCATCCACAGTCACAGAGCGCTCCGTCACATTATTTACAGACTGAGAGAATATCTTTGGGGTAGCAAAATATTAAAAATAATACTTTATAAAAATTAATCATTGTTATCAATATCAAAAATCGATAGCATTGCACTGTATCCCCTTATTAATTTAAACTGAGCTAACTCACAATTTTTTTTACTTTTTTAGACACTTGATTATGTTTATTAGAGAATTTAGATTTCACACAATAGATATATTGTTGGGGATAAAATCAGCTGTACACGAAACCCTATTTGTTAGATGGATATTTTGTCGGAGCCACACCCTCTTTGTTTCTAGTTATAATTCTATGTTATATAACGTATATATAACGTATATAACGTATAACGTAAAAACCAGATGTTTACAAATACCGAAATCTTGGACAATTAACAAGAACATCTCAAAATCATTGTGCAAGAACATATCCCGTAAATAGGATTTTAGATACATTTTATTTCTGAGAATCGGAGATACAATTCCAAATGTATTCTTGGTTCAAATTAACCCTTATGTGAACAGCTAGGATATTAAGCAAAATGGATATTCGTATCCTACATATATAAAAAGATTTATAAAAATATATTAATGTATAGTGATAAACACAGAAACAACGCGTGACCACCAGTGTTTGCAATAACAATATCAGTTAGAATATTAATATGGTAGTATTATGATATTAACCCTTTAATAACTGAGCCAAATGTAGATGTTTTGATCAAAATAAAACGTAAACAAAACTTGGAATTTGACTATATGTCTGTTCAACCGTAATTCACCTCTTTCATATTATGCACCTGCACTTATTATATATCATTTTATTTAGGAGAAATAGGGCTTTCATTTAACATCACATATTTAGCTATGAAACATAATTTAATATGAATAAAATATTTTTTAAAAAGGAGAAAAGAAGAAATTTTGTTATTTTTTTTAGTTCTACATGACATTTTAACTGTGACTGTCATAATACTGTTTGCTTTTACTGCAATAAAATACACATATTTGTATTCAGCGATGTCTCACGTGTAAAACAGTACCCCCTATGTACAGGTTTTATGGTGTTTTGGGAAGATACAGGGTCAAATATAGCACGTTATATTTTGAATGCTATACACATTGAAATTCGCCAGATTGGTTACATTGCCTTTGAGACCATATGGTAGCCCAGGAATGAGAATTACTCCCATGATGGCATACCATTTGCAATACCTTGGGTTGTCTACTATTGCAAATGGTACGCCATCAAGGGGGGTAATTCTCATTCCTGGGCTACTATACGCTCTCAAAGGCACGATGGAGTCACAACTGCTAAATTGTGAATTGTAATATAAGATTGATTTTAACCAAAAAAATGTCTGACACGACTGATGGGTCATAGAGGGAAGACAGTCAGTAATTTCTTGCAGATAAATACCACCAAAACCAGGTACTGAGCAGAATAACAAAATAATGCAAATTTACATGAGATCAAAGCTGAAACAAAATGGGAAATCCTGACAAGGCTGAAATAGTCCCCTTCCGGTATTATCCTTGTATTAGCTGTAAAGTCAGTTTACCAAAGCAATTATGTGTCTTACCAAAATCGTTATAAAATTCAGTCATACATGGGGTATAGCCACGTCCATTGAATGCATTCCCATGACGAAGGAGAGCATCCTTCAGCGCTTGGCAGCCACACACCACAACCACCGGGCGTTGTCCCAAATAAATTGTGAAGATGTCCCCATATCTACATCTCATCTGCATTAGAACAGCAGTGTGAATAATGTGAGAATGTCACAATCCAGAGAATGTTAACCTGGCCAATGTGAATACATTTCAAATAAATGGAAATTCTAAAAAAATAAAAATAAACATATCAATCTAAAATCGGTAATTAATCAATAACACTGGATTTTCTAATCTTGCTGGAAGGTCATTAATGGATTATCTGACTCTATTCTACATGATTTCATTTTTATTATGAGACAGAGAAAGTGACCCAGCATTAGAGTGTGACAATGGGACAAAGTACCATATTTATTCTGCAGAATTAAAACTCTTTCTCAATCTGTAATCAGCCTGAATACTGTTTATTCATTTTAATAAAGATATTGCTTTGCACAGAAAATGTTTACAGGGAGTATTGCACATAATATTTCATAACGAAATCAGCATTTGTTTTAAATATATATTTCTCAATTAAGTAATTTCCTAGGGGTTTTTTGGAATAATAATTATGAATGGGAGTGTAAACATGGATTTATTCCTTCACCCAATGGGTTTTGAGATGGTGGTTATTATAACGTTTAGTGTGTGAGAAAATAAATACTAATGGGGAGAAAAGTGTGACCGTGCATTTTAATTGATTAATAGCCAGGGTTAGGAGTTTAGCAAGGATCACGTGGTTGGTGCGACCTGATTAGTAGAGAGTACGAGGAAGCCGCTACATATAACTATCTGCACCACATGGCATCAGGGAATAGGAAGACAGTCACACTGGGATCCTCTCTAACAGCGGTATTCAATAAAATGAGAGTTCAAAGTTTGGAAACATTCTCTAAGACAGCTATGATTTCATTTTCACTACTTCAGTTTGAATTCTCACTTTAGTAAATAATCCAGTTTGTTCACATTATTTTATTTCTTTTTAATGGTTTGATGACCGCATCGTGGTTTAACATTTCAGTCATAGGAAGTTGCAAGTTTCTGAACAAGTCCGTGCTTGTATATACGGTACATTTCTGATTACTCTAAAATAAACTTTCACGGAGCTGAACAGTCGCATATCTGTGGAGCTCTGCATCGGCCCCACAGATTAAGAGCCTTAAGGCAGAGAAATCCGCTCTAAAACCACACAGCTTACCTGCCACCCGACAGCCGACAACATGGGGCGCAAGCATAAAAAACAAATCCACACAGAGCGACCCGCGGCACCCGATATCAGGCTGGCATTCCAGAGGCCTACACAGGCGCGGCCCTCCAAGATGGCGCCGGAACCGCAGAGTGAGTTAGAGACCTCTGATGACTCCCAGGAAGAGAGGGACTCCCAAGCCTCTCTCCCAGGCCCCACTCCCAGGTCTGATTCGGAGGAGGACGACTCCCCATCCACAAAGGGGGACATCAGAAAGCTGCTGACAGACCTAAGGCAGGTCTGGAAGGCCGACTTAAAGGAGACCCATGCTGAAATAGGGGTCTTGCAGCAGAGAGTCCAGGAGGTGGAGAACAGAGAAAGATCCAGAGATCACCAACTCCAAGACACCAAGCAGCAACTGGACGGACTTACTGAGCAGGTCCAACACCTACAATGAACAGTGGTAACACTTGAGACCAGACACCACCGCTGCAACATACGCCTCAGAGGTATCCCTGAAACGGTGAGCGGTGAAGACTTACTGCCCTTTGTTCGGAGACTCAACTCCTCCATGGGCCTCAGGTGTAACTCAGACACCCCACTGATATTATCCACCTTCAGGGTGCGCAAATCGCCAGCAGCACCCGCTAGTGCCCCCAGAGACACAATAACTACCACCAGAGACATAGCTGCGAGAGCTGCCATCATGGCCGGATCCAGACCATTGTGGTCGGTGAAATTTGAGGGATGTGAGGTGGCCATGTACAGTGACCTCCCTTTTGCAGTGCTTGCCGCAAGAAGACAACTAACACCGGTCACTAAGAGACTGAGAGAACAATCGGTACGGTACCGATGGGGCACAGAAGGATCGCTGATGGTACAAAAGGGCACCGATGTACTCACCCTGACCTCAGGAGACGACCCAGAGACATTCCTCAAAAAACTGGGCGTATTAGCCAATGGACACAGAAAGCAGAATGAGAAACGCAATATTTAGCCATTATAATAATGTTTTTCATATGTACATAAGCTTATATGGTCAGTGGTAGTTTCTTATTACTCCTAACCCATTACTCCATGCTAATGCCCTAATTACCTGACTTCACATATATAGGATAAGCCAGCAAGATTGTTAAAATCAAGCAACCTCTTTAAGTAGGGATCTCCGTAGAGAGGCAGAAATGTGCAAATTGATTCCTCACCATGCTTCAGTACATGATTCTCTGACAATGTGATTGCTGCTATGTTTGTAGCCCAACGAAATGCTATGTGAACTAGTGATGTGGCGAACCCGAAATTTTCGGTTCGCGAACGGCGAACGCGAACTTCCGCAAATGTTCACGAACCGCCATAGACTTCAATGGGCAGGCGAATTTTAAAACACACAGGGACTCTTTCTGGCCACAATAGTGATGGAAAAGTTGTTTCAAGGGGACTAACACCTGGATTGTGGCATGCCGGAGCGGGATCCATGGCAAAACTCCCATGGAAAATTACACAGTTGATGCAGAGTCTGGTCTTAATCCATAAAGGGCATAAATCACCTAACATTCCTAAATCACAATGGATATGGATTGACACCTGACATATGACATATTGACACCTTGACATATGGATTGACACCTGTCCTCAGAGACCCTGATACACACTGACACAGAGCAGAATAGAGACTGTTGACCCTACATAGGGTCACTTGGCAGATATGGATTGACACCTGTCCTCAGAGACCATGATACACACTGACACAGAGCAGAATAGAGACTGTTTCCCCTACATAGGATCACTTGGCAGACATGGATTGACACCTGTCCTCAGAAATCATGATACACACTGACACAGAGCAGAATAGAGACTGTTCCTCCTACATAGGGTCACTTGGCAGATATGGATTGACACCTGTCCTCCGAGATCATGATACACATGACACAGAGCAGAATAGAGACTGTTCCCCCTACATAGAGTCACTTGGCAGATATGGATTGACACCTGTCCTCAGAGCCCCTGATACACACTGACACAGAGCAGAATAGAGACTGTTCCCCCTACAAAGGGTCACTTGGCAGATATGGATTGACACCTGTCCTCAGAGCCCCTGACACACACTGACACAGAGCAGAGTAGAGACTGTTCCTCCTACATAGGGTCACTTGGCAGATATGGATTGACACCTGTCCTCAGAGCCCCTGATACACACTGACACAGAGCAGAAGAGAGACTGTTCCTCCTACATAGGGTCACTTGGCAGATATGGATTGACACCTGTCCTCAGAGCCCCTGATACACACTGACACAGAGCAGAAGAGGGGCTGTTCCTCCTACATAGGGTCACTTGGCAGATATGGATTGACACCTGTCTTCAGAGACCATGATACACACTGACACATAGCAGAACAGAGACTGTTCCCCCTACATAGGGTCACTTGGCAGATATGGATTGACACCTGTCCTCAGAGACCATGATACACACTGACACAGAGCAGAATAGTGACTGTTCCTCCTACATAGAGTCACTTGGCAGATATGGATTGACACCTGTCCTCAGAGCCCCTGATACACACTGACACAGAGCAGAATAGAGACTGTTCCTCCTACATAGGGTCACTTGGCAGATATGGATTGACACCCGTCCTCAGAGATCATGATACACACTGACACAGAGCAGAATAGAGACTGTTCCTCCTACATAGGAGCACTTGGCAGATATGGATTGACACCTGTCCTCAGAGCCCCGATACACACTGACACAGAGCAAAATAGAGACTGTTCCTCCTACATAGGGTCACTTGGCAGATATGGATTGACACCTGTCCTCAGAGCCCCTGATACACACTGACACAGAGCAGAATAGAGACTGTTCCCCCTACATAGGGTCACTTGGCAGATATGGATTGACACCTGTCCTCAGAGATCATGATACACATTGACAGAGCAGATTAGGGAATATTCACTAAATGCCAGACATTGTTATACAGGGGAATATTCAGTAAATAAGGATAAGGGGGGACCTACTGTCCTCCCCCCCGGCCCCCACCCCTGCACAGTGGGTGGGGGCCATAAATCTCAATGGGGGGGGGAACCTACTGTCCTCCCGCCTGCCCCCACCCGTGAGCGGTGGGTGGGGGCCATAAAAATAATGAGGGAGGGACCTACTGTATGATGTTGTATCGATCAGGTAGTGTAAGGGTTATGCCAGCTTCACAGTGACAGACCAAACTCCCCGTTTAACGCACCACAAACAACCGCAAACAGTCCATTTGCACAACCGCAAACTCCCCATTTGCACAAGGTTGGATACCAAGCTAGCCATGTCCCGTTCCTTGTCCTCACTGATGTCATTGAAGGTCTCTTCCTCTACCCAGCCACGTACAACACCAAAGGTCCCCGAAAGGTGACAACAAGCCCCCTGGGACGCCTGCTGTGTTTGGTCTTCCACCTCCTCAAAGCCACCTTCCTCTTCTGACTCCTCTTCTGCAGACTCCTCTCTCTGCGTTATTATAAGGTGTGTTAAGTAGTATTATTCCTATCAGTTTAATCCCTGTTACGTCCCCTATCAGGGGACGTGTATATGGCATCGATTTTAGGAACCGGGAGATGGAAAAAGATGCTTGGTCAGTCCTCCTACTTCAAATTTGGGGCACTGCGCGTGCAATCTAATGTGCCACCAGATAGGAGTGGTGTGTTAAGTAGTACTATTCTTATCAGTTTAATCCCTGTTACGTCCCCTATCCATTGATGTGGAGCAAGACGCAGCAGCAGAAGAGGACTCAGCCGAGGAGGTTATGGAAGAGGATGGAGTAGAGGAGGTGGCAGCAGGCCTGCCTGCAAGTTGTGGCGGTGTCACCAACTCCTCTGCAGAGCCACGCATTCCATGCTTGGCAGCCGTCAGCAGGTTTACCCAATGCGCAGTGTAGGGGTGGCCTGCCTGTCATTTTTTTTTCGATTAGTGGTGCGTGCAAGCTACTGTGACACCAGATATGAGTGGCACTGTGAACTGGCAGAGTACACGCTGTAGGGCTGACACACCTGCTTTGAGACAACTAACTGCTATTCAATCTATAACAGTGAAAAAAGTTTTTGGGTTTTTAAATGCATGCTATTGTGACACCAGTGAGTGAGTGGTGGCACTGGGCACAGTATCCACTGTGAGCCTGACACAGAAGCTGGCAGGCAGGCAACTGCAATTACATTACACAGAAAAAAAAAAAGTGATGTTCTAGCCCTAAAAAGGGCTTTTTGGGGTGCTGTCCTTACAGCAGAGATCAGATGAGTCCTTCAGGAATGTAGTGGACACTGTATACCCTAACCTAGCTATTCATTTCCCTATCTAATCAACAGCAGCTACACTTTCCCTCCTTCACTAAGCATGCAGCTTGAGAATGAATCTAAAATGGATGCCTTCCAGTAGGTGGGAGGGTCTGCTAGGTAGGGTGTGCTGCTAATTGGCTGGAATGTGTCTGCTGACTGTGAGGTACAGGGTCAAAGTTTACTCAATGATGATGAATAGGGGCGGATCGAACCGCGCATATGTTCGCCCACTGTGGCGAATGCGAACATGCTATGTTCGCCAGGAACTATTCGCCAGCGAACCGTTCGGTGCATCACTAATGTGAACCTGTTATAACTCATACAATAACCCATATAATGGAAAAGTGTATACTGTGTGTATAAAACCTAATAAAATACAAATATATAATAAAATAAACTTTCAAGTCATCTCAATGATTTAATCTGGGTGCAGTGTCCCTGTTTTAAAAAAAAATAATTATTTTTTTATTAAATTGCAATGTTACAGGGTTAAGTCTGTCTCTCATGGCTGTCAGTATGATAAACTCCATCACGTGATGCAGAAGCCCCCAAAGGAAAGCATTGATTCAAAGGCAAGCAGTGCCGAGAGAGCATTGGGACTGGAACAAACATGGGGGAAGGGTAGGTACATGAACACCATAGCGTTAGCGTATATCATAGGTACAATCTGCACCATAGCGGCAAATTGTTCTTCATCCAGACTCAGACAGCACATAAATGACTGGGGACAGCGGCCGGTATTATTTATTTTTGTTTTTTAGACACTCACCTGTTTTACAAATGGAACAAGCTGAATCTTGATAATCTCTATGTAGTTACCCACAAGTGGAAGCGGTGGTGGCCCCGGGGGAAGGTTTCCTCTAACATGCGTATGTTTTACAAACCACAAAAACACCAAAACGGAGACAAGTGCCACAGCAACCAGGACAGGATTCATGCTGCTTAGAGAAGGTTCTGTAAAAATACAGAGGATAAGATCCGTCAACCGCTTTCTTTAGAACATTACCCATATAACAAAACAATTACTAAAGAAGAGTCTCCTTAATGTCTGCAGATTTATTGTAGAAAATAACTGAACATGGCAAAATATATACAGCAGTAGTTTGGCCGCTGCTCGGAAGATATCGCCCCCGTACACAAACACACTGCTCAGAGTTCAGAGAAAATGCTGGTCTGAGAGGGAGGTATACTTGAGTGTGCCTGCCACTCCTGCTAGCTCAGAGGAGCTAATGGAAACAGGAAATAAACCTCCCTGCCTGATTGATTGACTTCAGGGTGTGTTCCATAATTAAACAGCGTTTTAAATAGGATACTTATCACCCATAATGCACTTCAGCTGTAGGTGGAGCGAAGTCCTATAATCCTTGAGATCACAGCGAGGGTGTCAGCTTTCACTTATTGACCATCCCAAACATCAAATGTATCTTCATGTCAGAGGACATATAGTTTCTGTCATTAGGAGAGGTTGCTCCTCTAATTTGCGGCCCCCTCCGGTTTGTTTTTGTTTGTTTTTTTATATTTATAAATATAGATACAAATAGTTTACTTACAATGTATTCACAATATGCTGCTATACAAAACTCAGGCCGTGCCACTAACACAGCTTTGTAGGACCCCAAACACTCGCTATTCATTTTATCAATTTGTAGAAACTGGGCAGATTGTCTAATTCCAATTTACAGTAGATGTAGGTTTGTAAGTTTGTAAACTAATGCACGTCTTATTTGCTACTACTCCATGTATGTCTATTGGTCTGTCTGTCTTATTTATTTACACATCCTTTAGCCCCTTCACAAACAGTCTAGTTTCTCTTCTAGCAACCTTAAAACGCAGAAACCCTTTATAACACATACCGCAAGCACTTTCTCCTACTTAACGTTTTCCATCTACTAACATTCTTTGCTCTGTACAAATAACCAAAATGTATAAAAAATATATCCAAACCCTGACAAATGTGTATTATACGGAATTCAAAATTCCATGACACCATAAACTTTAAACTCAATCCTGGAATCTTTCAACTAAACTATTTCTATTTAACTCATATAAACGTCACCCTTCATTTCAGGAATATTTGCACACATTCATCTTTAAAGGACCACTCTAGGCACCCAGACCACTTCAGCTTAATGAAGTGGTCTGGGTGCCAGGTCCAGCTAGGGTTAACCCATTTTTTCATAAACATAGCAGTTTCAGAGAAACTGCTATGTTTATGAATGGGTTAAGCCTTCCCCTATTTCCTCTAGTGGCTGTCTCATTGACAGCCACTAGAGGCGCTTGCGTGCTTCTCACTGTGATTTTCACAGTGAGAGCAAGCCAGCGTCCATAGGAAAGCATTGTGAATGCTTTCCTATGCGACCGGCTGAATGTGCGCGCAGCTCTTGCCGCGCGTGCGCATTCAGCCGACGGGGATGAGAGAAGGAGGATCGGAGGAGGAGAGCTCCCCGTCCAGCGCTGGAAAAAGGTAAGTTTTTACCCCTTTCCCCCTTCCAGAGCCGACAGGGAGGGGGTCCCTGAGGGTGGGGGCACCCTCAGGGCACTATAGTGCCAGGAAAACGAGTATGTTTTCCTGGCACTATAGTGGTCCTTTAACAATGGCTACCTAAAGACATATCCCCTCATTGTCACCCTTACACACTGCATTCAAAGAAGATCATTATTCTTTAGTTTTTAGTTTATTTTTCAGATCAGTGAATGAGGAGTGTAAATGGTTAATGGGATTCAGATAGACGTTATTCCTAACATAACATAGTTTCATCTGCCTTATTTTAACCTGTGAACATCATTACATGAGCTTCACAAGAATGTTACAATTGCAGTCTGGAAGTCAAGAATCTGGGAATGACGCCCAGGGTCATAAGTTACACTTGTTTTTGCCTATTTTTCAGCTCAGAAATGTAACTTGACAAAACTGAACTATTATAAGATAAATCAAATACTATTATATAGCATGGAATATTAAACTACAAAACTATTATATAAAATGTAATATTAAACTACAATTATTATAAAAAATAGAATATTAAACTACAAGTATTATATACAATGGAATAATAAACTCCAAATACTATTATATAAAACGGAAGCAAGTTTAACAAAATGGTTTCTAATAATCTATGTCGGCAATCCACTGACTAAAATATTATTCAAAATCTCTGTGTTGATATCAAACATGGTCTACATAAATAAAAAACTGGAAATATCTCATCTAGATGTATTCTCTAAAGCAGTGGTTCCCAAACATTTTAGGTTCAAGGTGCCCTTAATATTTCAATATTTTTCCAAGCTGCCCCAAATCAAAACAATTTTCTAGGTTGTATATATGTACCCCGCTGCGACATATGCCCCAGTTTGGCAGAAATGCTTGCCGTTTAGATCCAGAGCCTAATCTTGGGAGGGGCAAATTATTTAAAGAAACAATCCAGGCACAGTAACCATACATTACATTGTAGTGGTTATGGTACCAGTAGTGCCCTCCCAGGGTAAGTAGTTAAAGGTTTAAGAACAGTTTGACAACGAACCTGGGGTCTGCCGGGATAGGGGCTGTAGTGTGTGTGTGTGTGTGTGTGTGTGTGTGAGGGGTGCAATATATGTGTGTGTGAGTGGTGGAGTGTGCGTGTGTATGAGGGGTGCAGTGTGCGTGTGTGTGAGGTGTGCAGTGTGTGCTTGTGAGGGGTGCATTGTGTTTGTGAAGGATGTAGTGTGTGTGTATGTGTGTGAGGGGTGCAATGTGTGTGTACGAGGAGTACAGTGTGTGTGTGTGAGGGGTACAGTGTGTGTGGCGGTGGCAATGTGTGTGTGGCAGTGTGTGGGGGGTGCAGTGTGTGTGTGAGGGGTGCAGTGTGTGTAATGGGGTGCATTGTGTTTGTGGGAAGGATGTAGTGTGTGTGTGTGTGTCTGTGTTTGAGGGATGCAGTGTGTGTGTATGTGGAGCAGATTGTGCATGAGGGGTACAGTGTGTATGTGAGGGGTACAGTGTGTGTGGGGGTGGCAATGTGTTTGGGGGGTGCAGTGTGTGTATGGAGGGATAATGTGTGTGTGTATGGGGGTAGTGTGTGTGTATGGGGGCAGTGTATGTTTGGGGTAGTGTGTGAATGAAGAGATAGTGTATGTGAGTGGGGGGCAGTGTGTGTGAATGGGGGCAGTGTTTGTGTATGTGGGGGCAGTGTGTGTGTATGGGGGCAGTGTATGTGAATAGTGGGGTAGTATGTGCGTATGGGGGCAGTGTGTTTGTATGGGGGAGCAGTGTGTGGGGGGGTGTATTTGTGTGGTGTGGGGTCTGTAGGGGTAGGAGGGCAAATTCATAAATATATACGGCTTACCTTTGAGTGGGGACCGTACTAATCCCTGGTGGTCCAGTGGAGAAGCCCTGGTGGTTCAAGTGGTGAGGGTGAACTCTAGCAAGATTCAGAGCGTTGCTGTGGTAACCGGCCGCAGCAATGCCCTGAACTCGTGAGAGTAGAACCTGGCTAAGCTGCATGTAAGAGCTCCCCTGGGTCTTCTCTCTCCCCCTGCCGGCTACCAGCATTACACTGTGAGCGGGCCGGAGAGGGAGATCTCTGATGTCCCGTACGGTCCTGCAGAGCCGGCAGGGGAGAGCACAGTTCCCAGTGCTATGATCATATGTCGGTGGAAATATCTCGGGGCTCCCCTGTATGCACGGCACACAGTTTGGTAACAGCTGCTCTAAAGCATAGATGGTAAAATCCCCCTCCCCCCCAAAAAAAGCACAATCTAGAAGCTGTTATTTCTCCTTAACCAAAGGAGACTGGAGCAAGCACCAGAACAACCATACCCTGACCAAGTGCAGTGCTTGGGTATTTATAGGGAGAGCTGATCACATGACCGGCCCCCACCCCCCTGCAGGGGAAGCCTCCAATGACTATAAAGGAAGGGAGGACTGCGCACCATCTTTGATTTCCCACAGTCCTTACCCTCTGTCTCTCCAAGTCTTCCTCCCCTCTGCCCTCCCTGATGTCTTAATGGATGACCGATTGTCCTCAGTGGCCTACCTACCATGGTCGCAGGGGTTGCAGCTGTGACCGGGCCCGTCACTCCAGGAGGCCCGGCAGCAGCTGTGATCCCTGCGACTGTGGGCCAGTCGGCCAAGCCACTTCACTTGTAAGGGACCCAGGCCACCTGAGGATCCCGCAAATCCAGGCCCCTTACAATAACACAGACCCCGTCAGGGAGATCTTTTGATCTTCCTCCATGGGTCTTTGCAGAGTTTGCACAGCAGGAAAGGGAGGAGTCATGGCTTTCCGTGCATTGCCGTGGTAACCACAGTCACACCCCACAGCCCCTATCCTACATAGCAAACATGCTCTCATACACACACTGCATCCCTACACACACACACACACACACTGCATCCATACACACACACTGCATCCCTACACACATACACACACACACATACACACACACTCCATACTACTTCCCTACACACACACACACACACACACACACTGCATCCATACACACTGCATACTGCATCCCTACACACACATACACACACACACTGCATACTGTATCCCTACACACACACACTGCATCCCTACACACACACACACACACTGCATACTGCATCCCTACACACTTACACACACACACACACGGCACCCCTACACACACACACTCCATCCCTACACACACACACACACACACACTGCAGCCCTACACACACATACACACACACTGCATCCCTACACACACACTGCAGCCCTACACACACGCACTGCATACTGCATCCCTACACACACACATACACACTGCATCCCTACACACACATTGCATCCCTACACACGCACACACAAACACACATGCATTCCTACACACGCACACACACACACACACACACAATATGCATCCCTTACACACACAGACACAAACACACATGCATCCCTACACATGCACACACACACACACACACAATATGCATCCCTTACACACACAGAAATACACAACGCGTCCTTTATACACACACAGAAACAGACACTACTTACTGGGACGGAGGGAATGAGATGTATGGAGGAGCTGGGGGGGATTAGACTCTTGGGGGCAATTTACGCACTGGTGCCCAGTGATTTCTAGTTACGCGTCTGCTTGTCCTATATACAGTCCTGTTAATGATCAGATTGCTGGAGAGCTGTCTGTAATGGCCCTACATACATTTGAATAGGGCTATTATTTCACCTCTTTTACAGCTTTTAATTTCAGTTTTTATAACCATTCTCTATAACTAAACGTTTCCATCCCCCTTATTCATTGTGTAGCCCATCTTTGCACTTTTTCTAGTTCCTCAATATCCTTGATAAAACCAGTGCCCAAAATTGCAGCGCATCATCAAGATGAGTGGTACCATGTGTGGGGGGGGGGGGTGCAGTGTGTGTGGAATGAGGAATCATGAATTAGAGCTGTTAACGTTTCAGTCATCACTAATGGTGCGACAGCTGGTATTGTGCGAAAGATAATGTGCATTATTCGACTTTGGCCATTCTCATGGAAGAACAGGTTCTCTGAAAAAGTTGATTGTTGTATACATTTAATCTTTGATTTACAGAGCCTTCTCTGGCATTGGAATGCTATCACAAACTGTCTCAGTGCTCCGATGCTCGTTCTCCAATGATTCACAGCTGCAGGCAATCTCTGTACCCAGTGCTAAGTATGGCTGTCTCCCTTAATGTTAGGGATTGACACCCAGGCTGGATCATTGCCCAGAATGTAAATCGCAAGAATTTCAATGCACTAGCTGACAGATAAGGTAGTATGTAAATCTAGCAGTATAATAAAAAATATTTTCCAATTCAACAGACATTGGTGATGAAACTGACCAAATTAAAAAGGTCGCACTAGTGACATGAGTCCAGTAAATCAATTGGTGAAAATCTGAAAAGTAAAATGGACAAGTTTGTAATATGACCATATAACTCCTTAAATATTTGTTTAAAGTCTACACGAGGGCTATTGCTACACTTGTGGGTAGTAATAAAATACTGCCTTTACGGTAGAGAGACATACTGCAATACCATGGGGGTATTTGTCTCTTTCTACAAATAATACTTTGCTTTTGCAATCTGTGACTGCTATTAAAGTTATAGACTCATAATTTCCAAAAACCCAGAAATAAGCAATAGCAGGCTTAGGGCACTGGGCTAACCAGTCGCCATCTAGTCCAAACCTTGGACTCTCAGCCTATGATTAATGTCCAAGGTTGGACAAATTAGGGAGGTCTATGGTGCTGGAAAGGGGCACAGTTTCTGTCAGTTCTCTCCAAAAGCGTTACAACAAAAATAGCAAATACTTATATACCATAACCACTACAAAAAGCTGAAATAATGAAATCAAGTGAAGTGCTTATGGTATTGACGGGATAGATGGATGGATGGATGGATGGAATGATGGATGGATGAATGGATGGAATGATTGATGGATGGATTGATGGATGGTTGGATTGATGGATGGTTGGAGGGAGGGAGGGAGGGATGGATGGAATGATGGATGGATGGATGGGGAGTGGATGGGATGGGGGGAGGGAGGGAGGAGGGAGGGATGGATGGAATGATTGATGGATGCATGGATGGTTGGAGGGAGGGAGGGATGGTTGGAGGGAAGCAGGGATGGATAGATGGATGGATGGAATGATTAATGGAGGGAGGGATGGATGGAAGGATGGAATGATGGATGGATGGATGGATGGATGATTGGAGGGAGGGATGGTTGGAGGGAGGCAGGGATGGATGGAATGATTGATGGATGTTTGGAGGGAGGGAAGGAGGGATGGAATGATTGATGGATGGATGGATAGAGGGAGGGAGGCAGGGATGGATGGATGATGGATGGGAGATTATTCACTAAATTAATTGTTTCCTGTTATTTGCCTGGGATTTGGATCCTACAGCACCTGTATGGCAGACAGCATCCTCTGTCCATAGAATGCTTCTAACCGAGCACTGAAACCAAATATTTTCTATGAGAAGCGCTCACTACCTCTTTGAATATCTGACTGACAGTCAGGCGGGTGTTACTAAGGAGTTTCATAAGAGTCTGTTTCCAGTTAACCCCTGAAGTCCTCCAGGAAGCTTCTGAATGTTTTTTTTTTAAGTTTAGATTTCAAGCTTTAAGAGACACCAAAACAACTTTAGGTTTATGAAACAATTTTGGTGTATAAATCACTGCCATTTAGGAGTTAAATCACTTTGTTTATGCAGACCCCTGCCACACCTCTCTGCATGTGACTTGCACAGGCTTACTAAACACTTCCTGTAAAGAGAGATCTAATTTTTAAACCTCCTGTAGTGGAACTCCAATACTCCAACTGGGTATCTCCGCTGAAAGAAGCGCTGGTCAGTAATTTTCCCACAGTAACTTGATGACACATAGTTCTGGGAGTAATACTGATCTGTATTGGGAAAGCACAGTCTTTATACACGGACCCAGGATGGGGTCCCTAGTCACCCCAGAGTAAGCCTGCCCTGGTGCCTCTGAATCTGGGAGATAATTGAGTTAGCCCTCGCTTAAGCTAATTATCTCTCGGATATAGAGGACACAGCATTAAAATATCCAAAAAACATATTAAAACAAGCAGGAACTCCAACACATTATACATTCCCTGTTAGCTCTGGTTTGAGCTTCCAAGTTGGAAAAATAGCGTCCGGATCCTTGGAGAATAAACAAATCACCACCGGAGTCAAGAATCGACCAGCCGCTAGCAAAAACCAAGCCAAGAAGGGAGCAATTAGTCCTTTCAATCCATAGTACAGCCTCCAAATAGAGCTCTCCTGGCAGGTCGGGAAGTGGGGTAAAACAGAGGGTTAAGTTTACCGGGAATGGGGAAGCTAGAGTTCCACATGTTTTGGTACTAGGTCCCACTGGGACCTTGCTACTTTCGGGAACTGAATGCCTGCCAGGGCAGAGGCGATTTTGGGTGTTTAACATTGAGGGGGGAAAGTACAGAGCCAAGGGTAGTTAAATAGTTATTTCATTAACAAATTAGAGAGGAATAATGTACGGTTTGCTACACTTCCTTTATTGCAAAGTCTGTTTAATTTAGAATTCCTTGTCTACTGCACGGTTAATAGCTTGATAGACCTTGCAGATGTCTCCTGTGTGTAATTAAAGTTACATTTTACAGAGCAGGTGAGAAAAACATCTGAAATATGTTTTAACATCTAACTGAATATGAGACTTTTTTCATGCAGGCTGTGTGAGTCACAGCTAGGGGAAGTGTGACTAGGGCTGCATAAACAGAAACATATTGTTTTAACTCCTAAGTGGAAGAGAATAGAGAAGTGAGACTGCAGATGCATGATCTATACACCAAAAATTAATATAAGGTTGTTTTGGTGACTATTATGTCCCTTTCTTTATGACCAATTCTCCCCATATTATTGGAGGAATTATTTAAGTTTTGCCTTCTTTTGGACCAACAGCAAAAAACAAACGTGCGGAAAGCTGAACTTTATGGACACGTGTCTCTTTTCAGCCTATGAAACTATATAACTATGTAGTAGTGTGGCCGAGAGGGGGTATGTCACACTGTCAGACAGAGAAAGGGGTGAATGTAGTGAGTGTGGCCGAGAGGGGGTATGTCACACTGTCAGAGAGAGAAAGGGGTGGATGTAGTGAGTGTGGCCGAGAGGGGGTATGTCACACTGTCAGAGAGAGAAAGGGGTGGATGTAGTGAGTGTGGCCGAGAGGGGGTATGTCACACTGTCAGACAGAGAAAGGGGTGAATGTAGTGAGTGTGGCCGAGAGGGGGTATGTCACACTGTCAGGCAGAGAAAGGGGTACATGTAGTGAGTGTGGCCGAGAGGGGGTATGTCACACTGTCAGGCAGAGAAAGGGGTACATGTAGTGAGTGTGGCTGAGAGAGGGTATGTCACACTGTCCGACAGAGTAAGAGGTGAATGTAGTGAATGTGGCGGAGAGGGGACATGTCATAACATGATGACAGGAGGATGCTGGTCTGTTAGAGAAATAGAAGCAGCATTTACACAGTGCGCAAAGTCAGCTTTACGTTAACTGTTTTACAGTCAGCCAGTCTATGCGTGTTTTGTTCACTTTGTCCAGTTGTCCATTTCCTCTGCATAACGTCATATAGCTGCCATTTACAGTCCCTCTGCAGAGATACAGAAGAAAAGAAGAGATCTTATCATTAATAGGGATTTTTAATGCTTGCATTTTCTGTAGGGTGAAAAAGAGAACTGAGTCAAAAGGTAGGTGAGGCTACAGAGACAGCATTTTGTTTGATAATGCAAACTTAGCCCATATGTAAACGTTGCTGGGAGTTAAGAAATGCTGAGATAGAAAGCTCTAATGGAAATAGTCTTTTAGCGTACTCTCTCTCTCTACACTATATACAGATAAAATGTTCTTTTCCATGATAGTTAAATCTCACGTACCGTTATATCACAGTATGCCCCAGTGTTACTGATCTCACTAATAAATATATAGTGTATAAATCACACCAACAGAAAACCACTCTGTATTCTTTTTTCATTGTCTGTAATATTCAGGAAAAAACAATTACATCATCAAATACAAAATAGAAAATAGCAAACAGATACTTGCAGGATAGCTCTGAATTCGTATGTTACCGTCTTCTAGCTTGGACTATTATTGTATTCTTTAGATCCACAGGAACTCAAAGGACGTGTGGACAAAATCAAACAGCATGGACTGTCTTCAAATCCAAGAGGCTGATATGCCAGGCACTGGACTGACTGCGGGATACAGAGTTACTGCCAGGTTCTTTTATGTTTTGTGATAAATTATCCTTTTAAACTCACATGAAATAAATCCGCCATCTGTACATATCTGTATGGAGTCATTAGTTACCCACGTGCACAGGTTGCTGATTTTATCTCTGTTAATATGCAGTGTTATATTTAATTTTGAAAATAATTAATTACCTTTATAATCCCACAGAGATCCCTCCTATGTCTGAACAAGTCTCAACCAGAATCATGGAATAAAATATATACAGTTGGGAGAAGACTTGTGTGAACAGCATCATCTGCAGAACTGGATTACCATTTAGGACTGGGCACGGTCACATTCTTCTCAACTTTGGTTAGTGCAAGGACCGGAGCCCAGAGGGGGGGCAGATGTTGACTAGAATCGTACCGATACATAGCAAGTTTCGTCCCAGGATGCAGGCCAGCTGTTGCTTGTTGTTGCCAAGCAGTGATATATAACATCTCATTGTACCCAGTGCTGCCAAAAAAAAAACCTAAATAATGAAAACCCAATCAGTAAACAGATAAAATTAAAAAAAAAATAACAAAAGGGTTGATCTAGCAAAATACTTTTGGGGATGGGACATTCCTAATTTGCCAGATCATTCGGCTTTACTATCTTTCACTGTTTAAATTATGTTTTAGTATTTCTGTATACTGTATTTAGTATATTCGCTATGTACATACTTGCCTTTTATCCTTATTGCTTAGCATTTTACTATAGAATCTAATCTTTACAATATTCTCCTATGTCCTTTCCTTATACACACATCATATAATGTTTATCCCATTTATAGAAATACCAGTAATATTATGTTTATAATTTTTATTCTCACTAATATTTGTATCTGTTATTTATTTTTTTGTGTAATGGAGTCTTTTACTGACCTGGATCCTCACACGCTTGGCCAATCATCTCTTTACCTGGAGATTTGAACAGTTTATGGACAGACAATACGATTGGTTGTGAAGAATAATCCAACGGACACAGTTTCTGGTGCAATCTGACAGTTTGTCAATGTATTAATAAAAGTTCAGTGTTTATGAAGGTATAATTTCAATAGATCTCTATGAGTAGCTCAGAATTAAAATAATACTAACAATTCATTGGTTAGAATGTAGCCCATGGATCAGCGCAGCTAGGTGAGTGGACCTTGACAGAGCCAGGAGGTAGGCATAACAGCCAAAGGAAGTTGAGTGACAGCTAGCAAGCTGGGTAGGGCGGAGTATTTATACCGGCCATTATATGAAGTGGCCATCTTAACTGAACCTAAACTTACCTGTCAGTTGTCCCTCCCATCCTCCCTGACTTTGGTTAGGTTATACATTTTTACAGTTTTTCCAGATGGAGAGGAAGTGGGCACCCGGAGTTTTAGTGTGGATTAGGCAGTGTTACACTTGGTAGGTTCGAGCCCGTCACTGGCTCCAAACCTGGGAGTGTAGCGGTGTCTTGGTACACCCTTATAATTGAACTTGTGGGTGTGGCGGTGTCTTGGTACACCCCTACAATTTAATTTGGTGGAATTATGGTCATATTGTAGGGCCAATTTATGTGTTAATATGTTTATTATATTGGTATTTAGTATTATTATTATTGTGCTGTCATTGCCAGGGGTATGTTATAAATATGGGGGGGATGTTGGCTTTAATAATATTTGTTGGCAATGACCCTATTTGTTATTCCTTAATTAATTAATAATTAATTAAGCTGTGGACTAATATTTCCAAGAGTATAACCTGTGTCCGTGTCTTAATGGGGTTTGGGGTAAGGTTAGCGCATATGCCGGTAAAGCTGACTGTGCGCCTGTCAAGTTATCTTTCATCAGAGTTCTGACGTATACCATATGTTGTCTTTGCCAAATTATGGATGTTGTATAATGCTTACCCCCTTATTTGCTGATCACCAAATAAATGCTTAATATTCTTATATGTTTATTATTTTATCATTGGAAACGCATCATACTGCACTGCAAACATTCTGCTCTATCATTAGATATATCTATGTTTATGGTATCTATGAAATATCACTTATCTTACAGTTTATTCTTAAAGTTTGCTTACAACTAAACTTTAGCCTTAAAACTATTATGAGTCACTGTTGTCGAGTGTTGTGAACGATGGTACATAGATAAAATGAGAACACCAAGTTTATCGAAGGTTATATGAGGGTATGTCCCTCAGCTAGATGTGACTCAGCATGACTTAACATATTTAATAATTAAAACAAATTCCTGTTTGTTAATGTTCTTAGAGTGGTATCATTTTAAATATGGCTACCATGCATACAAAAAGGCTGTATAAGGTTCAAAATGTCTAACATTTTGATTGTTATGTTTGATAGTTACTTTCACATTACGGCACTTTTAAAGGGACATTGTAGGCACCATAAGCACTTTGACTGATTGAAGCTGTTATGGTGGCTTAAAGGGACACCTCAATACCCAAATAAAAAATAAATACAAAATTACTGTTTAGTAGATATACTCCAAATGAAAACTTACCTGCATATAATTAATTATTATTCAGTGGGGATATATCTAAAATCAGCTTGAAAAATGTGCAGATTTCTTGTCTGCTGCCTTCACAAACCCTCCTCTTCTAACCCCGCCCACACTTTCTGTTGCTGTCCAATCACAGACTTCCCAATACAGCTCAATGACAAGTCTTTGTAAGTCAGGTGCTCTGGGCAATTGCTGCCTCTTGAGGTCAGCTGCATTGAGCTAACGAAACCAGGAAGTAACAGCCTTACCTGTTGTCTGCTTAAAAGCCAAAGTGGTATATACAGGCTTTTTTTTTTTATAACAGTGTCAATTTCTATTGACACCTACACTTTTTTGCAAAATGAAAAAAAGGACACACTCTTCACACACAAAGCTTTTCAGCGAGATAAAGTTGTTTAGGGGTCTGCAGTGACCCTTTAAGTCTTTGGTCACTGGATCGCAGATCATTGCTAAACGGTTTGTTCACTGTTTAGCATATGAAATATATTCATGATTTGAATTAAAACTAAAAATATATATATATACATATTTTTTTTGTTTTTAATTACAATGAAATTAGCACTCTTCCAAATGAGTCTTTAGACTCTAAAACATGTGAGTGAGGTATTTTACTTTGGATACCTATATCATTCTTATAAAAAATACTCAACTTTAGATATTTTTATGCTTACCCTGTATATTAAACATTTTTGGATCATTGATTAAAATTAGTTTAATTGACAATCGTCATCAAATTTTCACTTCTCGTTTTTTAAACATCTAATACATTTTAAGGAAACTTTTTTGAATTTTTTTGATTATTTTTATTTTTATTAAGAAAAGTTCCCTTTTTATCTGGCTGTGCGGACATGTTGGATCAGACTCTGTTATCTGACCCACTGTTGCTCAGCCTACCCTACTTGCTGCGATTGCTCTGTGTGGACCTCTCACAGCAGCAAGTTAGGTTAAGCAGCAGTTAGTCGGATAACGGTAGAATCTTACCCAACGTTGCAGCTCAGTCAGATAAAAGGTGACATTTTCTCCCCCCCCCCCCAAAAAATCAATATTTATTATTTAAAAAATTATATACATCACTAAGTTTTATTAAATGTACTAAATATACTTAAAACGAGAAGCGAATTTTTGCTAAAATTTGCTTTAAATTATTTTTATTAAAATGTTGTGAAGATGTGAAAATGCTTGCGTAAGTATATTTGTATTGCACCATCACTATTTAATTTAACACAACGTACGTACACAATGTAATAGAAAATGATAGTTTATTTTAGAAATTTGATTAATATTTTTAGATATTTTAATTTCTCAAATCTTTAGTATGGAGTGAGTTTTCAAATCACTTCTAAAAATTATCAGTTTCAGTTCATTAAACAGATGGGAAAATTACAATCTCATATGTGACATTTATTAAAACCTAAACGCTGCCGATGAACCTTTAACATTGTTATATGTGACATTTATTGACAAGTAGTGATGACCCTCCCACCTCCTGGACAGCATCCATTTTGAAGCTGCATTCTTAGTGAGCTGCCCAGGAGGTGGGAGGGTCTGGAAGGGAGGGTCTGCTGCTGATTGGCTGGAATGTGTCTGCTGACTGGAGTCCGCGGCGAACCGTTCGAGGCGAACCGTGGCGAACCGTTCGTGGCGAACCGTGGCGAACCGTTCTGATACATTATGATACTACTCTTGCCATGATTCATGAAAATGGACCCTATACCTTACATTGAACACAAGACCATCGGAAGCCAAGTCAACAATTTAAAAAGATTTGAAAAAGCACTTTTTTTCTAACGAATAACCAATACCTTATCATATTTATAAACGTATGCGCAAAACAAACACCTGTCACCTCCCTAACTTGCTGTGAAGCCCAAGCCATATCATTTAACAATCCCATGTTAATCTATAATAGCAAATTAAATTTTGCAACAGGAAAATTGCTAACATAAATACATGTGCACAAGCCTATTTAGAGGGACCTTGCTGTAAATGTATGGCCATTATGCCCTAACAAAAAGTGCACCCTATACCATAGCAGCCTGTTCATTTTTTTTTTACTATTTAACCATTATATATATTGTATATATAGGGTATTCTGTTCCCACTGGACCAGAGCTACATATATTGTGTGGTGCACACAGCATACATCGTAATATGAAACCTTTGCTGGGATCCAAAACCCCTCGTTGGCTTCAATTGTTTTTAATTTGTTGTTAAACCTTTCTGTCTTGGGTTATTCAGCTTCACATTGTTAGATGAATGTATGTATTAATGTACATTTCGAGAAAATCATGGTTTTGAACAGATATCAATACTGGATTGTAAGGTAGCCAGAATATTTTAGTAATATCTCAACTGGTAGACACAATGTCACCATCTTACAGAAATGACTATTAAAGAGTGGAGTTTTCTGTAAAGTCTGAAAGTCTGTGGAATTTATACAATATTTACACTATTCAACAAACTATTTAACAAACTTTCTGAATACTATGAGTGGTCTGGCCAAGTTAACGGGGGACAAATGAAATTTTATACGGCTTTGGAAGGTTTCCTAATCCAGAAACAAGTGGTGTGATGTCCAATTCCTCAGGGGGGACAGGAGATTTCAATTTGAAGTTTTGTAGGATAGTAATGAGGAAAAGGAAGAGTTCCATTCGAACCAGACCTTCACCAAGGCAGACTCGCTTTCCTGTGGATATGAAAAGAAATGGCTGAGCCACATAGTGAAAGTTAAAACATGTAACATTTGATTCAAATTGTTTACACATACACAATGACATTCACACTACCTGGCTATTATTTATATCTTTCATCATTGACTGTAATTTCATTTATTTCAGGATCTAGATGTGTTTAAAACTTCACGGTAGTTGGAAGTATTCCATAACTAGTTTATGGGCACGTGGGCAAACCATGAATTATTTCCTATCAATCATTTCACTTTCTGTACCACGGCAGGAACTCACAAAACACATAAAAAATGTTTGTTCATTGTCCAATTCGGGCTATTTTGCGATGCGTCCATATAACGTTTCAGAGTTATGGAATTCGGCCAACCCACCATTTGCCCAAAATCTGGATGACTGGCAATTTGTTTGAAACAGAATGCACAAGTCTCTTTCCCATCCATAACATAGATGTGTGAGGGAATGAATAGAGATCCCAAGGAGTACAACAATACTTCCTGTCTATTTCCCTCTTCTCATAGGAAACTGGGCTAAGAATAAATACCTGATTAATACCCGAGGATTAATATCCAAGAACATAGATTTATACAATGGGAGTTTAAAGTAAATTGTCCATTATTATAACCCAGATAAACCCAGATCATAACCAGATTATAACCCAGATAAGCCAAGGTCAACCCAGAGCAAAGGCTTTAAAGATAATGAGCTTCTGCATTGCCAGAGTTAACATAGATTAAAGGGCAAAGGTGCCCTGAACACCTGACCAGTATGTTTTCTGTCCACTACCAGTAAAACTGGTTTGTAATCTGTTCCATAAAAATGATTGGTAGAGTACATTTCTAACATTTCCTCATCCTCAGTATCTCTATGATCAGGGGTCATTGAGAACAAATGTCAGAATATAAAAGAGGCTACATGGATTCATTCCAATGATTCAGTACATTTTTCCCTTGGCCAAACCAAAACCAACATGTGTGTGACATTATGACACATCACACCAGAACACAACTTTCGTGAATGAGAAATGCCACAGACAAACACGGAGCATCCACAGGTACATCACAAAGATGGTTCCCAAAGAAGAACTGCTAAGGGAATGCCTGAGACAACAACCAATATAGGACGCAAGATGAGGATGTGGATGTGACTCACATGACAAAATTCTACCAGTGGTTAGAAATGCAGGACTGAAAGACAGCACTGATGCACTAATCCTAGCAGCATAGGAACAGGCACTCAGCACCAGATCAATAGGAGCTGGAGTTTACCACACCGGGCATGACCCAAAGTGCAGACTGTGCAAAGATGTTAGCAGGAACAGCATAAACGGAGAGACACAACCAAGTTGCTGGGATTGTGTACCACAACATCTGTTTAGAATATGGGCTGGACCTGCCTATGTCCAGATGGGAGATGCCACAAAGTGTGGTTGAGAATGACAGGGCTAAGATCCTGTGGGGCTTTCAAATCCAGTCAACCAACCTGAAAATCTACCATGGTGGTAGCCAAGGAACGAAAGACTGCAGTCATGGTGGCTGTAGCAATCCCCAGTGACAATAACATCAGGAAGAAGGAACATGAGAAGATGGACAAATACCAAGGACTGACAGAAAAACTAGAAAGGACATGGAAAGTGAAGGCAGTAGTAGTCCCAGTTGTGATAGGAGCACTCGGGGCTGTGACTCCCAAGTTGGGGGAGTGATTTCAACAGATTCCTGGTGGGACATCTGAGATCTCTTTCCAGAAGAATGCAGTCATAGGAACAGCTAAAATATAGTGCAGAACCCTCAGATTCCCTGACCTCGGATAGAGCACCCAAGATTGAGGAATAAACATACCACCCAGGAGAGGGGAGAAAATATAAATGTATTTATATATATATACAGGGTCAAGTTATTACAAAATGGATGATGTGTGTAGCAATATGGCAGAAAGATTGCTCCTGGTTGCTCAATATCCCATATCAAGTTCTTCCAATCGTGTTCTGTTCTTGTGTTGTTTTATCCTCGTGTCCTTACCTGGTGACCCGCTCAAGGCAATGCTCAATCCCTTCCCCATTTACAGGACTCCCAGTGAACTACTTTGTGAACTCATTACAGCTGAGCTGCAAATAAAGAAAGTTTCTGAGTGTTACTTACCTGCACCTAAAGGTATAAAGGCATCATTCTTCTTAAATTCCCCATTTTCATCCTGGAAATTTTGGGGATTGAATTCTGACGGGTACGGGAAGCAGGAGCGGTCTTTTAGCACCGAGGAGAGCACTGGGAAAACATTGGTGCCCTGAAAAACAGTTTAATGGTTACAATATAACAAAACAGCTGGATGGAAAGATACATCATTGGAAACATTCCCAGTGGAAAGATAAGTTCAGTTATTTGGCTGCAGTGAATATTTCTGAAAAGAGAAATATAACAATAATGGAATGTTACTGGCAGAGATATTACTTTATTGATTGATATTCACAGCACAGAAAGCAGGGATTTCAGTAGGAAGGAAACTGCTACAGTATTTAATAAAATAATGTAATTATGATGCCTCCTATAGCGGACATTGTGTTCTACATATTGTAATTTTAAAGCACAGAAACATGGACGTATCATTTTGACTGTAAGTTCCTTTGGACTTCTCTGGGGACTAGGCTGTACCTCCAACAATATGTACACGCTGAAGGCAGTAAGAGCGTGGAACAAGGTAATTGCTTTGTTTGATAAACGTTATCAGTGTGTCACTTTAAATTATTATTGGTAAGATGTCAATATTGATACAATGCACTGCCTTGCAGGTTCAGAATCCTGAAAGGGACACTGTAGAATTAGCAATACAATATGTATTCCTAACGCTATAGTTTTAGCCGACCTATTAAGATTAAGGTCCCAGAACAAAATAACGAAACAAGACAAAAAGCAGTTTGACTATTTCCCCCCAGCTGCGCAGTCACCTCTGGCTCAATCCTCATGCTCTCAGCCAATCCAATGCTTCCCTATAGAGAAGCAATGGGAGCCTAGAGTGCATGTCAATCCCCACACTATGCCAAACACAATCTCCTCATAGAGTTAAATTGAGGCAATGCATCTCTATGGGGAGCATTCAGTGTCTCCATGCAAGGCGTCAATTTTGGTAGAACCGAAACCCTGGAAGTTATTCTTCTTGCTGCCAGAGTGACGGCCACTAGAGGTGGCATTGGGCAGCAACGTAAACACTGCCTTTTATCCAAAAAGACAGCATTTACACTACTGAGGCTACAGAGACAAGTTCTATGTCCCAGAGCTATTACATTAAATGGACACTGTAGGCATTACATTAACGGGACACTGTAGGCATTACATTAAAAGGATACTGTAATCATTGAAGTGGTCTGGGTGCAAACCCTTATCACCCTTAACCCTGAGGATGTAATTATTGCAGTTTTAATAAAGTGCAATAATTACCAGCTAGGGTTAACTCCTCCTCTAGTGTCTGTCTACCAGGGACTTCTGGATCATTCGGTGAATATTGGTCCACTAAATGATGCTGGATGCCCTCACGCTATGCATGAGGACTTCCAGCGCCAATGGAATCACAATAGGAAAGCATTAAAATTTGGATGGAAAATCCTACTGCGAGAGCGGCAATTGACACGCATGCGTAGTAGAAATCCGTAAATCATATTATGATGTTTATTAACTAACCTAATCTCAGTCACAGATATGACTACATTTACCAGAACCATGAGGTCAGTATGCAGGACTTCCTAAAGGTCAAAAAGAGATCTGAATCTCAGCCATAAAGCTATATTGACAGCCTGGTGTGGGCCCTTCCACTCCTGCCCTACCTGCCCCACTTGGTCTGTACCTTTGGAATGGTGTATCCTTGAAGCTCCGTATCTTTGGTTGTTTTTCGTGGAACTCCAAGGGGAAGAAGGTCTATAAATCTCAGCATTTCGTGCATCACGGTGTCGGTATACGGCATCTGACTTCGGTCTTGTAGAGTTGGGCAGCGGTCTCTTCCTATAACTCTGTCTATTTCTTCTTGGACTTTGGCTAATATGGAGAGAAAGATGGTGATCTGTACACAGGGTCTACATTACTACATGTTACTGCATTTTTTTAAGTGACTTATTTATTGAAGAACACCTAACAAAAGGTAAAATCAACACTTTTTTAGCTTGCTAAAGAAGCTTTATGTATGAAGTGTGTATCCTATTTTTTTAATTTTGCAAAAAGTGCAGATATTCTTTAAGAGCGCCAAAAGAGAATACACATTAAAAACAGGGCTTTCTTGATATACCTCATATGTATACATAGCACAACATTAAAAGGACTCTCCAAATGCAAACAAAATAAATATCACTGTTTGGTAGATATACTCCCAATGAAAGCATGCAATTATTTCCTTGAGGTTATCTACAAAACACAGTAGATCTCTTTTCTGCAGCCTTTGCAAGCCCTTCCCCTTCAACCCCGCCCAGACATTCTGTGTCTGTCCAATCACAGACTTCCCAATGTAGCTCAATAAGAAGTCTTTGCAAGGCAGGTGTTTTGGGCAATTGCTGCCTCTTGAGTTTATCTCCACTGAGCTAACCAAACCAGGAAGTAACAGGACCAGTTATATGATTGACAGCCAGGGAGGTGTAACAAGTTTAAATTATAAAAGCGCTTTCTTTTGAGATCTCTGACCTCTTTTTGTAAAATGAAAAAAAAGGACACTCTTCAAAAATAAAGCTTTAAATTACTTTAGGTGTCCGGAAAGTCAGTTTACCAGATGGACAATGATTTCCATCTGCTTTTTACACTTGCATTACATTTTCCAGGACAATATTGCAGTCCTGATATGTAAATTGTGTGCTAATAAATTTGTATTCTGCTACTCCCAAATATAAAGTAAGGAAACTTGGATTAGAGCATGACTGAACCTTGTCACAAATCGTACCTATTTTTTAAGTGATGACAACTGAGAAAGCCTTTTTACTCAAAATAAGTATGTGATATATTTTTTTTATATTTTAATATTTTGAAAAATTATTTTTTTAAAGTTTATCTAAAAATATTCATTCATTTGAAAAATGTATCCAAAAGTGAGGCGGAAGTGAAGCTGGACAACATCAGAGTTTGACCCAGTGTCCATTTTATCATGGCACGGACCTCTGCAGGAACAAAAAATTTTTATAAAATAAAAAAGCTGAAATGCTATAAATTAAATTAGCATATTATAAATTTTTTTTGCTTTTTTTACTGCTACTAAAACATTTACCTTCACACGGTCGGAGGAATAATGTAGCTTAAGTACTAGAATGATAAGCGAACATGAAGGCTACTTTAAAACATAAATTACCCCAATAGACTGTGGGCCCCAAGGGTTTATAGTAAAGAGCGCATGCGAGGATAAGGTTGCATAGTATTTCCTTATAAAGCTATGTAGTTCCTTCGGCTTCCTCGTAAGCCTAAGAGTGTATATACACCTGTTCTGTTTAGGGTGAAAATTAAAACTTCCAAAAAGGGAACATGACGAATTTAACAGAAAAAGGAAGTGTATGAAAACATAAAACCCTCAGTAGACGACAGGTACCAATGGTTTTTCTTTTTAAGGAATTGGCTTATGTTGTATCTGTCGCACTGCAATATGTTTCCAAATTTTTTTATTCAAGTAGGCTTCCGCGTAAGCCCAAAAGTTTATGTAAACCCACTGTGTCTATTGAGCACAATCAAAGGATTAACAAAACAAAAAAAAAAATCCCTTGGCAGGTAGCCAAATAAGCATATCACTACTTTTATCGCTGGTTTTGTACTGCATTAGCATCTGTATAACTACAATTGAATATGTTTGAGATTTATTGGGCTTTTGCATAAGCCATAATGTCAATGTTACCTGGCTACTTTTGTCAAGATGAAAAATAAAGAATTAAAAAAACATTTACCTATTTTTGCCCTATCCCAAAATAACTTCATGGAAAAAATGTATGCTGACCCTATCCCTAATTCTTGCTTTGTTTACACTAAACCCCAATTCTATTAGTATCCCTAATTCTACAATACTAACCCTGAATACAATCACTCACCAATGATGTCTGGATTCTTCAGTAATATAAGAAGAGAATATGTTAATACACTGCTTATGGTTTCCACCCCAGCGAAGAAAATTTGTAAAGTTGAATATACCAGATTTCGGAGGCTGAATTCACTCTGTGGATCCTTCTTATCCTGATACATTAACAGAGGATGGAAGTGAAAATACGGTTAATTATGTTTTACAGTAGTCAGATAATTAAAATACCTCACATAATCGTCTATTAGGCCCATCACATTGGACCACAGAACTCTTGTTATAATTTTCTATGTTGCTCCATATTAATATAACCCTCTATATAACCTCCTTCCTATGACCCCTTTTATATTACTCCATATAACACTCCCTATAACTCCTTCTATTATTCCATATGACCTCCTTATAACCCCTCCTATTACTCCATATAACCTCCATATAACCCTCCCTATAACCGTCCTATTACTCCATATAACCCTCCATATAATTCCTCCTATTACTCCATATAACCCTCCCTATAACTCCTCCTATTACTCCATATAACCCTCCCTATAACCGTCCTATTACTCCATATAACCTCCCTATAACTCCTTCTATTACTCCATATAACCCTCCCTATAACTCCTCCTATTACTCAATATAACCCTCCCTATAACTCCTTCTATTACTCCATATAACCCTCCCTATAACCCCTCCTATTACTCTGTATAACCCTCCCGATAACTCCTCCTATTACTCCATAAAACCCTATCTATAACTCCTCCTATTACTCCATATAACGCTCCTATAACTCCTCCTATTACTCCATATAACCTCTCTATAACTCCTCCTATTACTCCACATAACCCTCCTATAACTCCTCCTATTACTCCATATAACCCTCTCTATAACCTCCAATTACTCCATATAACCCTCCCTATAACTCCTCCTATACTCAATATAACCCTCCTCTCTTCATACTCCATAACCCTCCCCTCCTCTACTCCATATAACATCATATAACTCCTATTACTCTATATAACCCTCCTATAACTCCTTCTATTACTACATATAACCCTCCCTATAACTCCTCCTCCATATATAACCCCTCCTATTACTCAATATACCCCCTATAACTCCTTCTATTACTCCACTAACCCTCCTATAACACTCCATATAACCCTCCATAACCCCTCCTATTACTCCTCCTTCCTCCTGTTACTCCATAAAACCCTCTATAACTCCTCCTATTACCCTCCTATAACCCCTCCTAATACATCTCTATATAACCCTCGTACTTCCCTATAACCCCTCCTATTACTCCATATACCCTAATTACTCCACATAACCCTATACTCCTCCTATTACTCCATATAACCCTCTCTATAACCCCTCCTATTACTCCATATAACCCTCCCTATAACTCCTCCTATTACTCAATATAACCCTCCCTATAACTCTTCATATTACTCCATATAACCCTCCTTATACCTCCTCCTATTACTCCATATAACATCCATATAACTCGTCCTATTACTCTATATAACCCTCCCTATAACTCCTTCTATTACTACATATAACCCTCCCTATAACTCCTCCTATTACTCCATATAACCCTCCCTATAACCCCTCCTATTACTCCATATAACCCTCCCTATAACTCCTTCTATTACTCCATATAACCCTCCCTATAACTCCTCCTATTACTCCATATAACCCTCCCTATAACCCCTCCTATTACTCTGTATAACCCTCCCGATAACTCCTCCTGTTACTCCATAAAACCCTATCTATAACTCCTCCTAATACTCCATATAACCCTCCCTATAACCCCTCCTATTACTCCATATAACCCTCTCTATAACCCCTCCTATTACTCCATATACCCTCCCTATAACTCCTCCTATTACTCCATATAACCCTCTCTATAACCCCTCCTATTACTCCATATATCCTCCCTATAACTCCCCCTATTACTCCATGTACTTCCCTATAACCCCTCCTATTACTCCATATACCCTCCCTATAACTCCTCCTATTACTCCACATAACCCTCCCTATAACTCCTCCTATTACTCCATATAACCCTCTCTATAACCCCTCCAATTACTCCATATAACCCTCCCTATAACTCCTCCTATTACTCAATATAACCCTCCCTATAACTCTTCATATTACTCCATATAACCCTCCTTATACCTCCTCCTATTACTCCATATAACATCCATATAACTCGTCCTATTACTCTATATAACCCTCCCTATAACTCCTTCTATTACTACATATAACCCTCCCTATAACTCCTCCTATTACTCCATATAACCCTCCCTATAACCCCTCCTATTACTCAATATAACCCTCCCTATAACTCCTTCTATTACTCCATATAACCCTCCCTATAACTCCTCCTATTACTCCATATAACCCTCCCTATAACCCCTCCTATTACTCTGTATAACCCTCCCGATAACTCCTCCTGTTACTCCATAAAACCCTATCTATAACTCCTCCTAATACTCCATATAACCCTCCCTATAACCCCTCCTATTACTCCATATAACCCTCTCTATAACCCCTCCTATTACTCCATATACCCTCCCTATAACTCCTCCTATTACTCCATATAACCCTCTCTATAACCCCTCCTATTACTCCATATATCCTCCCTATAACTCCCCCTATTACTCCATGTACTTCCCTATAACTCCTCCTATTAGTCCATATAAAATCCATATAACTCCTCCTATTACTCTGTATAACCCTCCTTATAACGCCTCCAGTTACTCCATATAACCCAACATATAATTCCTCCTGTTACTCTATATAGTTCTTCTTATAACTTCTATTGTTGCTCTGCATATATATAGTAATATTGTGTGTGCACAGGGCCTTTTTAGATATTATTGTCACTTTTAAAATTCTACCTTTTTCATTTTAATGAGGAAAGTATCAACATAGTCCCTTGGATTGGCAGGATCCAGCGTTTTCTCATTCATTTCAACCCTCTTCTCTACATAGATTTGGAGTTTTTCTAGGTATTCAGATATCGTTTGGTGAGGACCAGGAATGAACTTCATGACCCCCGGGAACATTTCAAATAACTGGAAGGAATCCATTAACATTAAAATAAACACACTTTGGTTTTATTGTGTTATTTGTATATGTGTTTACGTGTCTTTCTTACCTGGCCCCATGGTGAGGAAACTACCAAAAAACTTTTATGTACGTATTCTATTACATTAAGAAGCTCTTCATCATCGTACTTCTGTCGATTCCCAAACATGATGGAGAATATAATGTTACACGGTGGCTTGCTTAGACATTGACCAGGGTCAAAGAAGGCTTCTAAAACATTTCCAAAGAACAATAAAGAGCATTAAGTAAGACATTTAATTAATACAGTGATAAATAGTAACAAAACAAGATGACTCAGAAAAATAGCTTGGAAAGAGAACATTTCAAGAAATGCTATTTTGCCCTCAAGCATGAGAATTTGGCTCACCACGGGTGGATCAAGAACCAATTAGATAAGGGAAATGTGGCAGAACATAAAGAATCAAACAAGAGAGTCTTTTTTTAAAAAAGGCTGTGTAGCAGAGCCCTAGTCCTGACCGGGACTTTCCTCCACTGGATCACCAATAGTAGAACTCAGGAACAAGATACTGCCAAGTAAATAGCCTACCTCTTCCCCAGTAACTGGACAACACACAGTTCTGGGAGTACAACTGAACTTTATTCTGCCACACACGGCTTTTATGCACTGGCCCCTAGCATGGGGTCTACACATCAAGAAGAAAGGGGTTTCTTCCCAAGAGCCTTTGTGTTTGAGAGATAATTGAGCTAAAATTGGGATAACTCAATTATCTCTCAAATACAGAAACTGACACACATATTTTAAAATACCCCAAAAATACATGAAAATAATACAGAAACCCCACAAAAATCATATCCCCAAACAACTCTGATCTGAGCACCCAACATATCCAAAAAGCACTCAGATCGGTTCAGTAGAATGAAATTGCTATTCGAGTAAAGTTTTGACCGACCGGCCACGAGGTGATAACTCAAAACAGTTCCAGAGGATTGGGCAAGATGGCCAGTCGGCTTTTGGGGGTTCCTGTGTGAACACTGACAAACACTCCCCTTGGCTTTTCTGAAACGAATGCTCCCCCGTCGTTCGACTAGGTGGTCGGGAAGTTGAACGGACAACAGTACGGACTCCACCCAGGTTCGCGGACTCGGGTGGCTGAAAAATAGTTCTAGGCATTCGGCGACCATGTACTGCTGTCTGTGTTCGGGAGACAAAATCAAAATGGCCACCATGCACTGGACCACATACGTTCGGTTATACGAATGGAGGCCACCCAGGGAAAATACTCAAGCTAATGTGTCAAGTTGTTAATTTGTGGTTAACAGCCAGGGGAGGTCGGTGTTCGCTATTATTATTAATTAAGTGAAAATACTTTGTTCAAATCTCTGTTGGAATTATTATTGAAGCCCTCTTAATAATATAGTATGTTTTACCTCTGTCCCTATAGCAGTGTTTCTTACTTTGTAAATTATACACCAACCTTCCATTTTCTGTAGCTCCTTTACCAAACATGCTGCTTCTTCCTGAATTTTCTCCTCTAAGCTCTTCTTCCCCATTCCGAAATCTCGTAAGGCAGAGAGAGAAAAACGTCTGAGCTGTCGCCAACGGTTCATGTCGCTGGTAAAAATTAAACCTAAAAATGATCAAAACAGTGGAATGCATCCTCATATGGTCAGTTAAAGTTGAAAATTGCAACCTGGTGTGTGCTCCATCAGAAGTGACATGACTTATTATTTATAATTTAATACAATTTTCTAATCATTGAATGTATACACATTAAAAAAAAATCAAAAAGTAAAAATGTTTCTTATATTTGTTTTCGATAACACTGTATGTAATATGTTAGTTAAGTGAGAACGATATGTAGGAGATATACTCTACTTGTGACCTTGATGTCCACCCTGTGGACACGTGCGACCGGGTGCCCACCGACCATGTATTGCGGCCCTGGCACACGAAGTATAACTTCGTGGGCCAGTATAACATTAAGGGGCCCATTGGGTGACCCATGCTGTTAGGGCCACCCGATGGAAATAAATTTCCAGGGGGCCCGGTCTTCGCTGTGAAGCTTTAACAGCGCAACCTGGTCCCCTTTGATGACATCAGAGTGCAGGGACGAAGTGACTGTCTCGGTCACTTCCTCCCTTCAATTACAGAGCCTGTGCGGGAGGAAGAGAAGAAGGAGGTCAGAGTGGGAACTCTGACTCCCATCAGCCTGAGCCACTGGACACCAGGGAAAGTCTCCCTCCTGCACCTAAAAGGTGCATGTGTCTCTGTGTGTGTGTATGCGTGTTTCTGTATGTATGTGTGTCTGTATGTCTGTATGTGTGTGTGTGTGTCTGTGTCTCTGTGTGCCTGTATCTGTGTGTGTGTGTGTGTATGTGTGTCTGTATGTATGTGTGTCTGTATGTCTGTATGTGTGTGTCTGTGTCACTGTGTTTATGTGTCCGTGTGTGTCTGTATATATGTGTGTCTGTGTGTATGTATGTGTGTCTGTATGTATGGGTCTCTGTGTGTATTTGTGTGTTTGTATGTATTTGTCTGTGTGTGTGTTTGTGTCTCTGTGTATATGTTTGTGTGTGTTTGTATGTATGTCTGTGTGTATGTGTGTCTGTATGTGTGTGTTTGTTTGTCTGTGTGTCTGTATGTGTTTGTGTGTTAGTATGTATGTGTGTGTCTGTGTGTATGTGTGTGTCTACATGTATGTGTGCCTATGTGTGTGTGTCTATGTAAGTGTCTGCATGTGTATCTGTTTGTCTGCTTATGTGGGGGGATGTGTGAGGGGGCGGGGACATATGGGGGGCAGAAACATATGGGTTGGGGTAGACGTATGGGGGGCCCAGGGCAATTTTCACACTAGGGCCCCGTGGTTTCTAGTTATGCCTCTGTTGTAAATGTTATCTGATTTTCTTGTGTAAAGAGGCAATCTAGGCACCAAAACCGCTTCATCTCATTCTCAACCGGTATGAGACTGAATGTGGTTTCTCCGACAACCCTAGTTCTGTTCCCCACTGGAGGGTATGGCTAATGTGCCAAAAAAACAAAACAATAATAGGCGGCAGTAAATGGATGGAAGCCCCTCATTCTATTGGCAAATACATTTAGTCAGAAATTATAAAACATTGAGCAGATCTGAGGAACTATGATGATTTACAAAGTTTAATCCCCTATAAACCTATGGTAATACATAAAAAGACACAGAATTTTTCTTATAATGTATTGGCCCCAGGTATATTTCCTAAAATACAAGAGTAAAAACTTTATAACACAAAAAACAGTTTTCACATGAGATAAACTTTCAACTAGTAAGTGGTGAAAAACTGAAACACAATACTTTACTAGCAGATATAAAAGTAAAACAAATTATAAATTGCACTAGTTATTTTGTTGTTTATTCATTAAGTTGCATGCCTGCTCTGTATAGGTAGGCTAGGTGAATTGGTGAGGAAATTGCAATATCTAGTCCAAGGTAGCTGATTGAATACAGTCAAATTGGAGAAAGTTTCTGTTGAATGATTTTGGCCTAATTTAGTTCTTACAATTCCAATAGGTTAAAGGGACACAATAATCACCAAAACAACTTTAGCTTAATGTGACTTACACAGCCTTCCTAAACACTTCCTGTAAACAGTCATCTAATGTTTATACTTCCTTTATTGCAAATTCTGTTTAATTTAGAATTTCCAAAAATATCACAATATTTCAATATTTTTCAAACTATAAAACCATTTTAAAAGTTTATCCAAAATATTAAATTATTTAAAAAACATTATCCAAAAATATTTAAATGAGGCCATAGATTGTTTTGCAATGCCTAGATTTTACAAAAAATATTTGTATGGATCTGGATCTTTGGCTAGCTGCCAGATTACTTCCATTGCTGTTAGAAACATAGAAACAGAAAATGTGCCAGCAGATAAGAACCTATGCAGATGACACGCAAATCCACCTGTCCTCTCCTGATCTTTCCCCGTCCCTCTTGACTAATGTATCTGACTGCCTCTCTGCTTTCTAACTGGATGGCTGCCCACTTCCTTAAACTAAACCTGACCAAAACTGAAATTCTGGTCTTTCCTCCCTCAAGTGTTGTTACTCCTGTGTCTGTCTGTCTCCAAGTCAATGGTGCTACCATCAGCTCCACCACGCAGGCTCGCTGGCTAGATGTTCTCTTTTACTCCGACCTCTCCTTCAAGCCTCATGTTCAATCTATCGCCAAATTCTGTCATTTCCATCTCAAAAACATTGCGCGCATTCGCCCCTACTTAACGACAGATGCGACTAAGGTGTTGGTCCATTCCACTGTCCTTTCTCACCTTGACTACTGTAATTTCCTTCCCTTTCACCCCACTCCCTCTACCTCTAGCATGTAAGCTCATTGAGCAGGGCCCTCAACCCCTCTGTTCCTGTGTGTTCAACTTGTCTTGTTACAACTACATGTCGGTTCATCCGCCCATTGTAAAGCACTGCGGAATTTGATGGCACTATATAATATCATAAATATCATAATAATAATTTCAGCTGGAAGGCTATTCCATGCATCCACTACCCTCTCAGTAAAGTAATACTTCCTGATATTATTTTTAAACCTTTGCCCCTCTAATTTAAGACTATGTCCTCTTGTTGTGGTAGTTTTTCTTCCTTTAAATATTGTCTCCTCCTTTACTGTGTTGATTACCTTAGGGCCAGACTGGGAACACAAAGCAGCCCTGAAAAAAAAATATTCCAGCCGGTTGAGAATGAGATGAAGTGGTTATGGTGCCTAGATGGCCCTTTATACAAGAAAAATCAGGTAACATTTACATGTATCTACATCAAGGTCACAAACGCATGTACCAAGGCTCTCACTTGAGTATATCTCCTACATATCGTTACCACTTAACTAACATAATATTTACAGTGTTATCAAAAACAAATATAAGAAAAACATTTACTTTTTGATTTTTTTTTCATGCGTAGACACATAATGATTAAAGAATTTCATTATATGATAAATAATTCATTGTGTCACATAGAGTGTGTGTATTTTTATTAATGTACTTTGGGATCAGTTATATCGATACTTATCTACAGCCCCTAGCTCCACTGAATCATGGTGTTACAGTGCTGTAAAACCCACCCTGAAGTCTGTCTGACACAGACAAAGAAAAGCTCACAACAGACAAGCTCACTGACACACACACACAAGCTCACTACAGACCATCTCACTTACACACAGAACAAAACTCACTACACACAATGAAGCTCTCTGAACAACACAAGCTCCCTACTGACAAGATCACTGACAAACACAAAAACAACTTAGCTCACAACAGACAAACGTACTGACACGCACACAAGTTCACTACACACAAGTTGACTGACACAAACAAACAAGCTCACAACAGACAAGCTCTCTGATACACACAAGCTCACAAATATTAGCTCACTCACACAAATATATAGGAGCTCTCTGATCCACACAAGCTCACTCATACACAAGCTCACTACAGACAAGCTCACTGACACAAACACAAAAGCACAAAACAGGCAAACATACTGACACAGACAAGTTCACTGGCACATACTCACACAATATCACTACAGACAACCTCACTGACACAAACATGCATAAGCTCACTACAGTCAGGCACACTCACACACACACAGAAGCTCTCTGACCTACGCAAGTTCACTGACATACACACAAACACACTATAGACCATGTCACGGACAACCAGACATAAGCTTACTACAGACAAGCTCACTGTTAAGAACAGACACAATCCCTATCAGTCATAGGCTGCTGGGCAAACCTAAAAGCACCTATCACTGGGGACTCTGAAGGCCTAGAGGTCATCTCTTCCTCTTCCTGTCTGAAAGGCTAACTGGTTGAGGCTGGGGGGGATTGAGAAATTCAGTTTAAAGAAACAAATGTATTAATCTAATTACAGCCATTTTTTAACTCACCATAATTCTTGTAGTAAGAGTCAAAGGCAGGCATCTCTCCACGAGCCAAAAAGTCATCAGCTTTGTCCACGAGGACTTCTTTCACTGCCTTGTAGCCAGTTACCAAAATCACTGGCCGTGACCCCAGGTAAATGGTACAAACATCCCCGTATGTCTCACGGAACTGCATGGAATATTGAAGGGTTAAAATAGTTTTACTAAGAACTAAATGCTGGAGGTCGAGGGCAACTAAAGTTATTTCATAATGGAGGTTTGTGGGCTTCAAGATGGGATTTAGAAATAATTCTAGAGCAGTAACGCTCAAGCTTAATTAATGAATTAAATATACTGGAATCCTATGATCGAGTCTATGACTTAATACTTATCAAATGTTTGCTTATATTACAGCCTCTATATGGTTTATTATTTATTATTGTATAAATGTCTCTGTGTGTATTCATTTTATTCCTTCTGATGTATGCATAGTCTCTAAGCTCCGTAACACTCCATTTGCTCTCTCAGGTTACCACCTTTCATAATTTGTTTTTGACAGCCTCCTCACCCAACATCCTCATCCTAACCCCCCTCAACTCAGAAGGAACCTGAATTCTATTGAACTGCAGCAACTGTCAGCTGATGTCCATTCTGCATTCTCATCCATCCCTACCTTCTCATGTCCCTCTCTTGCTATTTCCTCGTATAACGCTACCCTCACCTCTGCCCTGGATGCTGCCGCCCCACTCAAAACATGCCCCTCAAGAAAGACGTGCCTCCAACCATGGAATACTAAGTCGACCCGCTCCCTGCAGAGATGCTCCTGTTCAGCTGAACCCTGCTGGAGGAAGTCCTTGTCAGACAATCTCCATTTTAAAGTCATCTTGCATTCGTACAGCACAGCCCTCACCCTTGCTAAACAATTATACCTTTCCTCTCTCATTAGTTAATGTTCACACAATCCCAGGTGTCTCTTTGATACCTTCAACTCTCTCCTTCGCCCAGTTCAAGCCGCCCACCAAACTAACCTTTCTGCCAATAGCTTTGCATGCTACTTTACAGACAAAAATGCGTTTTGGTATTCAGTGTGTTTTTCTGGTTTGAGTTGGCTCTGGTTTCTGACTAGCCTTACCTCTGGAATGCTTGATCTTGGCTTTGTGTACTTGTTTATTTTAACTTCTTCTATCCTTGGTATGTGCCTGGTTGCCCTTATTCTATGTTAGGACTATATTCCTTGCTCATTACATTAAGCCCAGCCACTCTAAGGTTCTGTAACACATGATATATATTTTTATTGCTTGCGTATTGGGGGTGTGCCTTGACAAAAATATTTTTTATCAGTTTCTCTCTTATTCTTACCCTCTTTTAGAAGCATTGCTTATCCAACCAGAACCCATGCTGGTAAGCAACATCTAGTGTATATTCACAAATCCAGACGAGTGACGAGCCTCTCGCAAATGTATCCTGAGCTTGTAACACAGTAAAGGAGTTTAAGCATGCGTGGGATAGGCATAAGGCTATCCTAACTATAAGATAAGGCCAGGGACTAATGAAAGTATTTAGAAAATTGGGCAGACTAGATGTGCCAAATGGTTCTTATCTGCCGTCACATTCTATGTTTCTATGTTTCTATGTTGTTTTATCCATTTACATGGATTAGCAGATACATGGCACTTCTCAACAAAACTTCCCATAGAGCAGGGGTAGGCAACCTCAGGTACTCCAGATGTTATGGACTACATCTCCCATAATTCTCTTATGTGACGGAACGCTGGCACTCCGACTGAGTACCTCCGCCAATCGATGCTCCTAGTGCTCGCTGAGGACTCCAAGCACTCCAACCGACACCATCAGCACTGCAGACCCCACTTCCAGCGATGCAACTGCGCCGGGGTCTCTGCTGTTTCCACCCACCCTGGACCCAAGGCCAGGATCCAGCTTCCAGTGGGTGAACCTCTCTTTCCCCAGAGAGCAGGAACAGGAACAAATCAAGCTATTGCAAGAGCTTCCTCTGGGGAGTAAGTGATTATAGCAATCCCCAGAGTGTAGGTATCCCTTCCCCCAAACATGAGCCAAGGCTTAATGCTGGAACAAGACTGATTTACTGGCACACAGAACTCACAATTTATGCAACACAAAACTCCTCCTCTGGGCCAGGCTAGATAATTGAGTTTCTACAATACACAAAGCTCAATTATCTGCTGGCCAGAAATAATACAGTTTCATAAAACACACAGGGACCCCAAAACATGCAATAACCCCATAAAAGTATATCCTTGGAACCGGGGGATCTGGGTGAACCACATATCCAAAATTCACCCAGATCCGTTCAGTACTTTGGAAAATACAGTTTAATGCAGATTCTGCAGAACATATACAGGTTAAATGAAAAACAATCACTTTATAATGTGTCCCCTGCTGTATAGTCCAAAACCACTGCACGATGTCTCTGTGCACCAAATACTGGCAAGATGGCACCGTGTTGAAAAGTCCAAACAGTGTCTGTGAGTTAAAATGGCCGCCATCCATTGTTCTCACCATGTGCTTCTGATACAGGAAATGGTGGCCACCCAGTAACTCCACAGTATGTCCCCAGATGGTTCTTAAAGGGCCAGCAGCAGCACAACACAAATCCATTATGCCCAAATCATGTCTTTAAAGGGCAATACATCCCAGGGGCCATAGTCACAGGGCAAGAGGCGGGCAAGCAGTCCTCTCCAGGCACAAGTGGCGAAGGGCACTTCGTCACATCTTACAACTATAATACCAGCAAAGCATCAGTGGAGATGTAGTCCACAGCAACTGGAGCTGGAGTGTCAAAGGTAAGCCAGGAGATTCCCTGAAATAAAGTGTTTACTTATATGTAAACATTTTATAAAATAATACTGTGACAGAAGCTCCTATGCCAGGACCTTTTGGAGAGGCTTGAAGGCCAGCCTCTTGCCTACAGACTATGGACTTGGTCCCAGGAGCACCTGAAAGAGGTGTGTGACAGCAGCAATCAATGTATAGACTATACATTGTTACTTCAATAACTCTGCAGCGCCCTCTGCTGACTGGCTAGACGTGTGTATGTTTGCATAATGCTGGTATAGTAAGGGCAACAAAATAAGTAGTTAAATGAATATATTATAGTTTTTAGTGTGCTTGAAAATGTTACTTGTATTATATAGCAGTTGCAGATACAGGGGGGGCAGCAACAGGGCAATTGCCCCTCCCCCTCATAAAAATATGTTGCTAAACTTTTACTTGTAAGGGGCCCAGCAAGCTCAGGCCCCTTACATACATCATTTTACATACACCCTCTTTACAGAGTTTTGTAGCAAGAAGGGGGGCAGGAGGCTCTCTACCTTCACCTCCACGGCTGACTGAATCCTGGGTTTCAGAGCGTCGCCGTGGTTATCACGGCAACGCTTGATTCCACATAATGCCAGGACTTGCAGGAAGTGCCTTCACCCTGCAGAGCCACAGAGGTGAAGGTTGAGAGCCCCTAGGGCGCCACCAGACCACAATGGGAATACAATGCCACCGGACCACCAGGAAATATGCTGCCCCCTTCCCTGGATGCAGGTAAGAAACAGGGACGGGGCGAAACACTTAAAAAATATATTTTAAAAATATATCTATAATAATAAAATTCAAAAAGCTGCTCCCCTCTCAGACCCCGCAACACTCAGCCCCAATACTAGCCTACAAAGTCTCACACTTCAAGCACTGCACCCCCCACAATCACACAATGCACCCCTCACAACCACACACTGCATCCCGTACACACTGCACCCCTCATAATCACACTGCAACCTTCACAATCACACACTGCACCCCTCACAAGCACACACACGGCACCCCTCACACACAAACACTGCACCCCACACAATCACACACTGCACCCCTCACACACTGCACTCCACACAACCACACACACTGCACCCTTCACAATCACAAACTGCAACCCCCGTACATTGCATCCCTCACAATAACATATTGCATCCCTCACACACTGCACCCCTCACAATCACACACACACTGCACCCCTAACAATCACACACTACACCTTTCACACTGCACCCCTCAAACACTGCACTCCTCACAATCACATACACTGCACCCTTCACAATCACAAACTGCAACCCTCCCACATTGCACCCCTCGCAATAACACTCTGCACCCCTAACACACTGCATCACTCACACACACACCTTACACTCCTTACACACGCCCTGCACCCCTTACACACGCCCTGCATCCCTCACACACTGCACCTCTAACACACTGCATCACACACACACACACCTTGCACTCATTACACACGCCCTGGCCCCTCACACACACCCTGCATCCTTCAGACACTGGGCCCCTCACACACACACACACTGGACCCCTCACACACACACACTGCACCCCTTTTAAAGACTCTATTGCCAACAATATCCCATACTAATCATGACCTTAATCTAGCTTGCGCATTTCATCAATAAGTAACTCATTGAAGACCTACCTTGATCAATGTCTTCACATAATCTCCCTTCAGTTGAAGAATATTTCCCAGGATTGGAAGAGGTGTAGGTCCTGGTGGAAAATGTCTGTTCTTCCAAATAGACTTTTTGAACACCAAAAATAGGAAGAGAGAAGAAATACAAAGAGCCAGAAGAAGACTTATATCTTCTGAGAACTGCATTGTGGAACTGTGCATCTACCGCCTGTGCTTACAGCGTGTTTGTTAAAATGTCCCTGGAATTTTAAATCAGCATGGCAAAGGGAGGAATATCAGGGTGGAGCAAATAAGGACTCATAAATAACAAGGAAAGTGAAATTGTTTTAGGTTTAATTTGAAATCATATTTAAAGCGTATTTAAATTAATTTAGTCTCTGTGGTTTGGTAAAATTTCATAAATAAATGTTTAGTTAAAAGGCAGAACTAATTCACATACATTTAAATACAAACGTAACAAAGAATCAAGAACATGGAGAATATAATATTTTAAAACAATAAAAGTTATGTTTAATATTAATTTCCCAAAATGGTTTTACTTTAGATGTGGTAGAGTGGGAAAATGTGAAATGCTATAGAAGTGAAACGGCGGAGTTAAAGAAGGACCACGAAGGCCGTCTGACCGCAATAAGATCGGTCATTCATTGTATTGAAGATAAGATCATGGCTTAAGTTACCCTAAGTTATCAAACATTGTATCACAGTAATGGGGCAAATCATGTGAAAAACCTCAATAATATATATATATAGTCACATTGGTGTATTTTGAATTTGTGCTGCCCTAGGCATGACAAAACTCAGGCACCCCCCAAATCTAAATTTTCTCCGCCCCTTCCTATCAAGACAGCACCTCTTCCTGTTTAAGACCAACATGCAGTTTGACTGACAGACACCCACTGACACACTCACACACTGCCAGGCACACACTCTCAGATACACATACAGTGACATTAATTTACTAACAGACGCACACACATTCACAGACATACACACACACATTCACTGACATACATACACATACACACACATTAACTGACATACACACACATACACACACACATTCACTGACATACACACACACATTCACTGAAATACATACACATACACACACATTCACAGACATACACACACATACACACACACATTCACTGACATACACACACATACACACACATTCACAGACATACATACACATTCACTGACATACACACACATACACACACACACATTCACTAACATACACACAGCTGTTTTGTGTTGCCCCCCCTAGAGTGCTGCCCAAGGCAAATGTCTTGTTAGCCTCGTTAAAGATACAGCACTGTATACCCACTGTATACCCACTGTACACCCACTGTATACCCATATGTAACGCTAAAATGTAAACCAGTATAATCCAACTGATATATTGCTAAGCTTGCTGTCTGGTTATAGAAGGGTTATTAGGAAAAAGTGTACACTCAGCAGTTTAATTGCTCAACACTATAATTATTTTGTAATTGAACTTTCAGAGTTTGTAATTAAGGTTTTCAAGGCCAGCGGGCGTGTTGTCCTACTCCCAATGTCAGAAGTTACCCTCCTACCAGATAGAGGAGAATATAAAGAACAGTGTAAGGCCTGCCAAGATAAATTCCTTTCTGGATTTTTTGTTTTGTTTTGTTTTTTTAATCTGTTTCACTGATATCATATATATAGTATAGTCAGCATATTGTGAATGCTCTCAGATACTGTTTTTTTTTTTTAATGTTTTTCCTTAAATCCTTTTTATTAAAAAAGAGAATACATTTAATACATCAATCATCACATTTACATAATTAATACAACCAGGGCCGGATTAATATAGGGGCTGATGGAGCTGCAGCTCCAGGCCCAGGCCCAGGCCCATGGAATAGGCCCATTTATTTTCACACACTACTCTTAGGTTTGCCGCCTGACTGGTATTTTACTGGCACAGCTGGTATTTGAGGCTGTCTGGCCATGCTGGTATTGCAGTAATACCGGCAATACAAATGCAGATATATTTTTCAGTATAAACGGAGATTACTCTGCAATACCAGCACCAGCCAGTAGGGATCATTGTGTGTGGAGAGAGGCAGGGATAGGAAATTACAGCATATCCCTCCCTGCCTCTCTCTACTCACTGATCTGCGGGGGAGCAACTACACAGCACAGAGAGTTCAGACACTAGCTCGCAGTCTGCAGAGACTACAACTCAGGAAAGTGAATGATGGGAGGGAAAGGCAGCAGGGAAACATGGGAACTCAAAGATCTAAGACTTTTTCTATGTACACAAAAGGCCTATTTTCAAATATTGTTCACAAATCTGTCTAAATCTGTGTTAGTGAGCACTTCTCCTTTGCCAAGATAATCCATCCACCTCACAGGTGTGGCATATCAAGATGCTGATTAGAGAGCATGATTATTGCAGAGGTGGGCCTTAGGCTGGCCACAATAAAAGACCACTCTAAAATGTACAGTTTTATCACACAGTACAATGCCACATATGTTGCAAGTTTTGAGGGAGCGTGCAATTGGCATGCTGACTGCAGGAATGTCCACCAGAGCTGTTGCCTGTGAATTAAATGTCCATTTCTCTACCATAAGCCATCTTCAAAGACATTTCAGAGCATTTGGCAGTACATCCTCACAACCGCAGACCACGTGTAACCACACCAGCCCAGGACCTCCACATCCAGCATCTTCACCTCCAAGATCATCTGAGACCAGCCACCCAGACACCTGTTGCAACAATCGGTTTGCATAACCAAAGAATTTCTGCACAAACTGTCAGAAACTGTCTCAGGGAAGCTTATCTGCATGCTCGTCTTCCTCATCGAGGTCTGGACCTGACTGCAGTTCGTCGTCGTAACCAACTTGAGTGGGCAAATGCTCACATTCGATGGCATCTGACACTTTGGAGACGTGTTCTCTTCACGGATGAATCCCGGTTTTCACTGTACAGGGCAGATGTATACTTTGAATAAATTTATTAGCAGTATTCAAGGCATTGAGCCACTTTTCAATGGATATAGTAGTTTTTAAATCTTCATTCCATACAATTTTTTTTTTTATTGAAAAAGTATCAAAATATATTTTATAATAGATACTTTACATTTTACTACATACATGTTGTAACGGATCGCCTGGCACCCCGACTGGGTACCTCCGTTGAAAGATGCTCCTAGTGCTTCCTGAGGACTCCAAGCACTGCAGCAGACACCACAATCACCGAACCAGAGAAGCGTATACCTTCTCTCAAGCATAAGAATGCTGTAGACAGTTGAATAGGAACCATACGAATAGGTTTACTCTCCTAGCAGTCAAACTGGAACAGCATACAATAAATCCTTCCCCCAATAATGAGACGACACTTCACTTTGAGGGTTAAAACAGGAACTCAAGTGCTGGCACACCCAGCCTGGTTTTTATTACAATCCACAAAACATAGTACAGCCCACAGGGTGTTACAAAACAACCAATCAATCCATACAATACACCCAGACACTCCCACACAAAATCCTCCCCTCTGCAGGTGATATGATTACTGAACACAATGGGTAATCTCATTATCACCGGCAGAGGAATACAGTTTTTACACAATATTTATAACTTCTAAAATATACATGTCACAAACATAAAACATACATTTTCATAATCAGTCCATTCAGGGCAACAACATATTAAAAAATGGCACGAATCAGACCAGGGGTTCAAAAGTTAAGGGAAAGTCCTTTGTGACTAAATGAAGCATGGCTTTCTGGCCCAAACCAGTTTCAGAGTCTTCTATCCTGGAGAGTAATTCAATTATCTCCCAGGACAGACACAAGACTCCATTAAGCACATGGTTGCAAAAAGACACAAAACACTTTAAAATACATAAAGTAACCTTTTCACATAACACACAGACATTTCACATATCCCCAGATAGCTGGGATCTGAGCGCACAAAACTACTGAAGAGCGCTCAGATCCTATTCACACAGTTCAATTGCTATGGAGCCGAAGTCTTTAACTACACAAATGGGCTCCATGGCATAGCTATCTGGGTTAACACATTCACATAAAGTCTGGTCCATAGTCCAAAGGCAAGAGGCGGGCAAGCAGCCCCCTCCAAGGACACGTGGCGAGGCCGGTTTCGCCACATTTCTCCCCTTTACCATCCAGACTAACAGGGTATCTGACCTCCTGCCGGTCAGTGCCCTGGTTAGTCCAGCAACCCACCCACGAAGCACAAACAGCAATACAGCCCACCCACAATAACTGGTTACTACACCTGGATAAAATAGCAACTTGTCCATGTCCAGGTGCCTCACCACGGCTGTGCGGGGGGCTGGTAGACTGCCTTGGTGGGTTGCTGAGTGGGCAGAGACCAGCGGTACTCTGCCCGGGTGCCAGCGCTACCACTGAAGTAGCATGGTTGGAGCCTGGTTGTGGGAGGGGGAGACTGACTGTCTCCCCTCTGGATACACTGCTCTGTGGCTGGGGGACAGGACCGACCGTCCCTACCCCTGGTGCTGCAAGTGCAGAGACTACAGTCCCATCTGCATAGTTGTGGGGCTTAACATCTCCCCTTGGTGGGTTAGGCTGCCGCTGGAGAGAGGGTGTAACAAGCTCCTCTCTCTGAACTGTAGACTGCCGCTGGGGAGAGGGGGTAACCTGCTCCTCTCCCTGACACTCTCTTTGCTGGTGGAGAGGGGGACCAACTGTCTCCCCTTTCAATATTTTGTCCTGCGGCTGGGGTGCGAGACAGACGGTCTCTGCTTCCTGGGGTACACACTGCCGCTGGGGAGGAAGGACGGCACCTTCAGCTCCCTGGGGTACACACTGCCGCTGGGGAGGAAGGACGGCACCTTCAGCTCCCTGGGGTACACACTGCCGCTGGGGAGGAAAGACGCCACCTTCTGCTCCCTGGGATACACACTGCCGCTGGGGAGGAAGGACGACCCCTTCGGCTCCCTGGGACTCACACTGCCGCTGGAGATCTGGGCCGACCGCCCAGCATCCCTGTAGGGCCGGTAGAGAGACCGCCGTCCCATCTCCACCTGCCATCTGTGGGTCTTCCCAGGACCAGTCTGTGAGGTCCCTCAACATTTGCGAGTAAGGACCACCTGCTTCCGCACCTGGCAACTCTGGCTGCTGCTGGGGATCTGGGCCGGTCCCATCTCCACCTGCCTGTTGTGGTTCCTCACAGGACCAGTCTATGAGGACCCCTACTTCGGGTTC